CTCCTTGGAATATCGAAAAATGACTTCCCGAAAGTACCTTCCCTGTCAGATTTCGGTTCAGAAAAAGTGCCATCATTTTAAATTGGAGCGAAATTGTTGGCAGAAAAGTTGTACGCAGAAAAAAAGGCCATCATTTTTTTTTACTAATAACTACATTTCGTACATTTACCATTTTTCTGATATTTTATCCCGGTTTTTCCTAGATATTTTAAAAACCGCTTAAAAAATCAAATAATGATCTCCATATATTACCATGTAGATAAAATTTCTTTTTAGAAAATAAGCTAAACTTGATACATCGGAGCAAGATTTGTTGTAGAAAAGTTTGCACAACAAATCGAGAGGTATTTTGCGATTAAGATAGTCCGAACGAGCAATAGCTTGGGTCTCTAGGTACATGCAAAATGCATTTATTTTTTCCTTGTTTAGGTAAATGGGAAAAAAAAAATGCAAACAATTTTTTTTTGAAACACTGGTTTGAACTCGGAAACCCTAGAATGATAAAAAGCATAAATAACCATTAGATCACGACAAATATGCTTTCAGATGAATAATTTAGTTTTTTAACATAACATAAAATATCTGCGTAATATCAGAACTTTAAAAAGCTATAATTTCGAAACTTAGTGAATCCGCTTAATTATGACTTCACCATCGTTCTTTAATAGGCAATATACAGTTACAATATAGTTTCAAAAAAAAAATTGAAAAATTAGATTTGTTCCAAATATATTTTCGTCAAAATTCGATATTAAAATTCCTCTATCAAAATTCCTTTATAAAAAAAAAATACTACATCAAACTCAATTTTTTTTTAACACAAAGTAGAAACTTAATGAACCTTCTATTATATTTTGAAATATTTCTGTTCAAATCTAACAATTTTACCACAGAGTGCCTACCGAATAAATATTACGTACAAAACTCTCAAAATTAAAATGTCTATAAATACCTCAAAAATTGCTTAAATTTTTTGAAAATTTGATCACATATATAAAAGATAAATATAAGTTTTTGTCCAAATTTAAAGTTCATCGAGTCGATACAAATATTTTTAACCAAATTATAACAAAAATGTTAAAATTTTTATAAAAAGCCTACAAATAGCTCAAATGTTTTGATAATTTTACCTCGTTAAATAAAATAACGAGATCGTGAAATTGTACATTTTCCTACGTTTTTCCAACTTAACTGCTTTTTAGTAAAAAAAGGCGTCGAATCAAAAAGTATAAGGCACGTATACAATTGTATATAAGTGGGTTTTAGGGTCAACGTCCCTTCCTTCCGACATTTTATGAAAATTATGATTGAACTATGAAAGTAGATTATTAATAGTCTCAAAAGTGGGTTCTCTCAATGAGGAAGAAAAATACGATTTTGGTTTTATTTTAATTTTATTACTAGATAGTACTTAGATATGACTTTTGTTGTATTGAAAAATTATAATTGAAACGGCGATATTGCATAGTTCGATCTATAACACTATTAAGTGATCTATACGCATATATTTTGAGTTAAACTTCAAATAATCGAACTTCATAACTTTGCTCGGAAACGATTTTCGTTAACAATGATTTATTTTTATGAGTAGGTTGATTATGAAAATCACTGATGTACATAATATTTATTGGTCATTTACATATACTATAGATGCAATAATTAGTGTTTTTTTTGATACTATTTACAATATACCTACACGTTTTTATTGTTATAATATGGTACGACAGGTTAAAAATAATAGAATAATTAATAATATTATGTAGTTTAAAAAAACTAAATTTATATTGCGATATCGTATTTCAAGTGCGATAACTGATGTAATGGCATTCTATTATAATAGATATGTTAATACGAATCACGCGTATTCGTTATTCGTCTGCAAAAGTGTATTACCAATGTTAGTATGTGTAATGTATAAATTAAACATTGTTAAATGTAATATTATTTCTTTTCATTATAGTACTTACTGGAACTCGGCTTAATAATAATTTGTATAATATAGAAATTGGTCTCACCATGCAACTATACTGTCTATAGACATGATAGATACATCTTAAGTAGCTCATATGTTCAAGGTGGCGGGGTTATCGTAACTGTCCGTATTGATATTCCATCTGTTAATCTAAGTGTTTCTCATGCTAATGTTGAACAATTATTTGTTCGTTTTTTTTTAGGTTTCTCTAATTTTAGACTCCGAACTTACCGAGGGAGCTATTGTTTTACAATGCTGTTTATTTTTTTCTTTGTTCAAGTCTGTGGACACGTTTTTTCCTAGTAAACTTGCTCCGATTTTTACGTGTAGCAAATTTTCTGAAATCTTAAGTTGTCTAGATTATTTTTTTATTTTCAACGCCATGTTTTAAATAAAAGCACTTAAGTGGGAAAAACGTAGGAAAACGTAAAATTTCACGATTTCATTATTTTATAAAAACACAGATGACGTTTTTTACCAGAAAAAATGATTCGACCGAAAATCAAAAGGCACCTTTTTTGTTGCCTTTTTGATTAACAATTTTTGATCTTACGCTAAAATGGTTAAAACTTTTTAGCCACTTTTGAGCTTTTAAGGAATTTTAATTTTTGGTAGTTTATTTTCTGTAATTTGGTTATAAATACACTGTGCTTCTAATTAAGTATTGCTCGGAACCGTCTTTCATCAAGATTGCTTGATTGGTTTGTTTCTTACAGATATAAATGAAATAACCTTATGTATCCTACCTTCCCAACTTCTTATCTATAACAGTGACCGCTCCCATCCCAAGTATCAGCTCTTTTTTATTTTTTATTTTTTTGAGCTCAAATAGTGTATTTTATGATAAATCTTGTGTTAAGTTTTCAGGAATTTATATTTTGCCAAAACGATTTTATCGATATAAAACCCAATAAAAAAATTAATAAACTCGAATAATATAAGTATTTGGTGAAAATGTCAGATCTTTACGATTAATTTTAACTGAATTACATTAAAAAAAAAAAAATTACTGAATACGATTTATGATAAATCATGTGTTATATTCTAGAAAATTTTAGTTAGGTCAAAAATATAATTATATTTGCATAAAATTAAAAAGGTAGGTACTCAAAATTCGATGAAATAAATATTTTTTTACCATGTTAAATTATCTTCAATAAGTCTTTCAAAAAAATAACTTATAATCGATTTTTAGACTATATCCTGGAGTTCAGGAACTTAAAATTTTGCATGTTTCCATATTCTCAATGGCAATACAATAATCATGATTTGGTTATAAAAATGGGCTGTATTTTGTATAGGAAAAACTTTCTTAATGATTGGCCAAAACCGTGAGAAAACGTTATAAATATTTGATTAAATATTTTAACATAATTTTACTCGTATTTAATACTGTAAATAGTATAATATTTAAAAAGTTAAAAATCTGTACATATATCTACTACAGAAATATTATGTACTACTGTTTGTCGAAAATTAACACATTTCTAATTTGATTTATGATCCGCTATCAAAACATAACACACATTTTTTTTAACTTTGCCTTCATATTTTTAATCTAACCTTATTTTTTATGCAAGTAAAGTTTATATAACTTTGTATGCTTACATATGTATTAGTTGAAAATATTGATATTGACATGATTAATATCCAATGTGAGCGGATTGGGAAAATATTTCGGTGCGGGAAAATATTAAATAAATCGGGCGCGAGGTTGTTGTAAATTATGTTGAGTTACATCGATGCAATTTTTAAGTTTCAACTACAAACATTTTTTGCTATCATAAAATAACCAATTTGTTATAAGTATATATAATATTATACCGAGTGATCCATTTCAGTGAGTACACTCATTATTTCGGAAAGTATTAATTTATTTCGAAATTTTTTTTCTAGAACATTTAAGAAATACAAGTACTAAGTACAAATACTACACTACAATTTTATATTTACATTATTTTTCGTCACCCTATTTTGGAGGAGTAAATCACTATTTATTTTAGATATCCAAATAGCAACCTATATTACAAATTCCAGAAATAGATGGAGTATTAGTTAAAATAAATTTTTTAGTGTTAACATTTTTGATTTTTGTTAATCTGTTGACGAGATATTCCACTTTTAAGTTTAGGTAGGAAAAGAGTAGTGGAGTATCATTTGTGTGGCGATACGGCGCGAGGCGTGTTAACAATTCACCACTACTCTCTTCCAATCAAAACTTAACTAATATAACATCTATTTATGGACTTTTTAATATATGTTGCAATTTAAAAATCAAAAGTAGATAGTTATTTTCCCCCAAAAATAAGAGTGACAAAAAAATAACACAAATATAAAATTGTAGAGTAGCTTGTTTCTTATATGTTCTAGAAAACAAATTCCGAATCAAAATTTACCTATCATACTAACTTTCAAAGTTTTTATTTATTAACCTTAAAAAATAGCGTTTTCGGAATTAATCCAAAATCTGATCAAAAATAGACAATTTCTTTAATATTATTATTTGTAGTTATTGATATTTTGATAATAAAGTTTTTTTTCATTGAAATTTGAATAAATCTATCTGGCTTAGTTATAGAGATAAACGTTCAAACACGCCGTGTTTTGCTGCGCTCACTCTGACGATTTTAATCAAAAATAACTATCGATTTGTTGTGCAAAACCACGTCGGGTAGGTCAAAATATCAATAACTACAAATAATAACAATAACAAAAATGCCTATTCTTGGGTTGTACGATATTAAGGCGCGGGAAAATTGGGTGCGAGACATTTGGGCGCAATGACAATTGAGTGCTGTATATTTGGGCGAATATTTATTATTTAATTCAAATTGTAATACTGCTATACAATATCTTCTTAAGAATAATTTGCTTTAACTCGATAATATAAGTAGTATTATAAAATCTACGCAATTTGTATTAATTTAATTTATTATCAGTAATTTATTTCTTAAGTATATACAAATATTTTATTAGATTTATTGAAGCTGTTATATTAATTAAAAATTGTAAGCACAGTTTTGTCTTACAAAAATAAAAATTAGTGTAAATCATAAAATTATAAACGAACATTTAGACATTATATTAATACATTCATTTTATTGAAATATAATGATAAATTTTGAGCAATGCCTTTCAATAAATCATTTATATTGCGGTTTTCAAAATCATTAGAGATTGCTTTGATTCTAAAAGCTGTGTCTTTATATTTTTTAAGCTTTTGTCTCGATTCTGTTCCAGCCAAAAATTGATGCATTTTTAAACGATTAAGTTTTTGTTCATTTTTTAGCGCGTTGATAAACTTCCATATTGCGACTCACATTTTATATTTTGACTGTGATATACCTAATGATGAATTTTTAATTCGAAATCGGTCGTATAATACACTTATTAAAATACTCCAGGTGATGCATTGTTTCATTTATTTATTTTATTTTTATGTATACATTTTTAATTTATATATTATTTAATTTATTTATTTATGAGTATTAACCATTTTAATAATTTTGTTTTTACTTTGTTATTTTATTATTTATAATTATAAAATAAACTGACGTCCTTTTTTCAGTTTTTCCTTAAAATTTTAAACCCCACCCCAAATTTTTTGACAGACAGTATACTGCTTATAAGTATATGATATAATTATATAAATGGTACAAAATATGCGTCATAGGACCAACAGAGTGATTTTTTTTAACACAGAACACTCATTATCTCGAGAAGGAAATAGGTATTGACTTTTAACGAAATGTTCTTTTTTAGAATTATAACATGTTTAGTGTTTACTTATATACCATACCTACTGCAATTCACACGTTTAACATCGACTATTTTTCCATAATTAATGATTTTCAAATACTTAAATGAAAACCTATGTTAAAAAATCTGTAAATAAAGTGACAAAATATATAATTATATATTAGATTTATTTCCAAAGTTTTACTCTAAACAAATTAGTTTAATTTAATGAATAAAACCCCAGTATACTTTGTGTCTGCCGACACTTGAGGGTTGGAGTTTAGTGAACGAGGTCGGTGATACGTCAATGTCGCTGTCCGAACAACTGCCGCACTTATCCTTAACTGTAACTTCGATAGAACGAGAAGTACTTGGATCCCATATCTTTATCAATTTACCGCATACGGGATCAAAATGAGGATTAGGCGATGTCCAATGACTAGGATTAATCGCGCAAACCGAATCGTCATTGCTCTGATAGGTTCCGCAGGCCGTTTCTCCTCCCAGCTGCCAAAAGGTCATGTCGCCATAATATGGCAGACCAGGAGGGACATTGACACCGCAGCTGCTGCCTAACTGCAGCATCAACAAGGCGACCGAAGATAACAAAACGAAATCATTCATTATTTTATGCCTAATCAAAATAAAACAAAAAAACAATTTATATTATAGAGTTATTTAATTTATATCTGTATGATTTACCATTAATAACTACTGATTAATAATGACTCATTACTAAAAAAAATGATTTTGAGTAACATTTGGTTAAACGTAATTTGATAAACTTAAATTGAAAACTGTTATTAATTTTTAACTACAAAAGCAATTTCAATCAACCGTATTTTATTGTAATCATAAAAATTATATCCAGATAAAACCAAATTAAACTACAAAAAAATATCAGTGAATTTTGGTTTCAAACTTTTAAGTATTTTTATAGATTCAAACAAATATTGCTAAAATTAAATACTGAAGAGTTGATACTGGGAACGGGTACTGTGAATGAGAAGTGGGGAAAGTGAGATAAATAAAGTTATTACATTTATACCTCTAACCAATGATAAACCATTGATAACGAAAAATGATTCGGAGCGAAGTTTGATTATACAAGTATTGCAAGGCCGCAATAATTTCGATTTTAAAACTTTTAAAAAACAAAAATAAAAATACTAAATTACATTCAATTTTATTTTTTGAAAAAAGATGTGTTAGACTTTTCCCTATTAACTACCCGACGTAGTTTTGCAAAAAAATATTTACAGAATCCGCGATTTCTATGTTGACAACAGATACATACCACTACTAGACTACGACAGATATTCTATGATATTGATATTATTGAGTTATTTAACATAAAACATATAACATCTACATAATATCAGAACATCAAACAGCTATAATTTCTAAACTAAGTCAGTCCATTTAATTTTAATTTCACTATCGTTTTTAAATCGACAATATATATAATATGTTCAAAACAAAAAACATTGAAAAATTTACATCTACCAGTGATTAGATTTGTTCTACATCATTTTTTACTCAAACGATTTTGGTCAATTTAAGCTCCAATTTTTTTTTCTCTGATCACAAAGTACGATTTTTAATGAACCTCCTGTAAAATTGTCAAGCATTTTTGTTAGGTTTATCAATTTATCTACAGCGTACCTACTAAATAAAAATTACGTAAACAATTTGCAAAATTAAAATGTTTTAAAAATAACTAAAAAAGCACAAAAATATTTTAAATATTTGATCACGTCTAGAAAAATTAAGTACACATTTTCTATCAAAATATCAAGTCTTTACAAATATTTTAACTTGAGTTACAACGAAAAAACAAAATTGCACGTTAGTCACGATTTTGACTAAAGTTCGGTTGAGAATATCTTATCCATTTAAAAATTAGAAAATAGCAAATCCCTATAAAAAGCTTAAAAATAATTTTCAAAATTTGACTACGTCTATAAATGTCTAGTATAAATATTGAGTAAACATTTCAGTTCTCTACAATATTATTTTTAATAGAATTACAACAAAATATAAAATCGAAAATGACGGAAACCCTTATTTTGTAAATTTTCCTAATTTCCTTACTGTTAAGAAAAATACAAATTGACGAACGATTCTAAATTTGATAATCGGAAAAATATTTCTGGTTGATAAGTTGTTAACAGACACATTTTTTATGTAGATACAAGGTACGCGACTATAATAAATACTACACAAAAAAGATTACATAATATAACTAGTGTACGAACAATTCGTTACCTTTTTATGGTGATGGCTTGAAATAGCAGTAGTAATAATATTTCACACGTGAATTCAAAGTGCGATTATAGCTTATTACCGCTTTTTTGTTTTTAGATTTTTTTAATGCCCCCTACTGTTACATCAGCGATTAGTCACAAGCATGGTTGTATAGATAGTATTTTTGCAGGGGATAGTCGAGCACTCAAACGCTATCTACATGTTCATAGGCTGAGCACTACCAGACATTTTAACAAACTTTTAATTATGCTATTTCATCGAAATACCTACAAAATATACAAGTTTTACATTGCGTAAAATTGTATTTACACTATTCATTTTTTTAATTTTTGATTTCAAACACTTTATCAATAATTATACGATTTACATCAATTTTTATTATCTTATTAGATTCTGAATGAAGCGAAGAATGTATTATGTATTACTTTTACAATGGTGTTTATTTTTTTTTTCCAGTGAACAACTTTTCTACCAACAATGGTACTTTTAAGGAGGTCATTTTTTTAATTTCCCAAATAAATGAGAAAAACGGGATAATATTAAACAAATATTCTTTAGAAAATATAAAATGCATAAAATTACATATTATATAGGTAATTATTTTACCATAATATGACATATATATTACTGACAAAGTAACTCTATCAACCGAACTCCACTTAAAATCGTTTTTTCGTTAGTAATGTTTAATCGTTGCTTACAGATATACATTACATTTCCTTCTGTATCCTACATTCCCAACTTCACACCTACAATAATAGCTGCACCCATCGTGCGAAGTATATCCGTTTTGAAATCCTTAAAACTCTAGTTTAAATATGTTTATGTTAAAACATAGTTAAATTTTAATGCATAGGAATTTGAAATAAAAAAATGTTGATTGTTTTTATATGTAAAGATTAATCATTATTCACAAAAAACTATTCTGAGGTGAGTTCGAATAAACATGTTTTAAAAGGCCTTAATATTTACGATTTTGCAAATAATAAAGTTTGTGAATTTTCACGTTTTTCCCTATTAATTATTAAAACTGGGGAAATCAAAAAATAACCACCCCATTCCTTTTCATAAAAGGTGTTATACTTGAAAATCGTAACCAAATATCTGGTAGAAGTTTTTTTTATTTTTAAAATTGTGTAATCTGTATTATTTTTACAATAAGCACAAATGATATTTATGTAGGTAACACAAACATATTAAATTGGCAATTCAATATCTATTGCATTAAGGCAGTTTATGTTTTGAGAGAAGAATCCATCCATTGATGGAACTTCATGGCGAGTGTGGGGTTTGAGGTTTAGTCCTCCAAGAGGTCACGACACCATTTCCGTTTTAGGCGCCTTCTGGGGCCACCTGGAATTGTGTGAGTTGACAGATCGCATATGAGAGGGTTTCGGTGATTGAAGAGATTGGAGTGGAGGCGCTTATAGAATATTTTGGCTACATTTTGGATGGTTGGAATATAAAGGTCTCTAAAAAGAGTGTCATTAGAGACATAAAAAGGAGCTTTAACTATTTGGCGGAGGCATTTTGATTGGAATGTTTGGATTATATTGATATTGGAGGGTTTAGATGTTCCCTAAAGTTGTATACCGTAAGTCCATATCGGTTTAAGCAAAAGTTTGTATATAAGTAGTTTATTTTTGACATTAACGTATTTAAATGCGAGAAGGGGACGGAGTTGGTGAAAACGATTATTTAGGGTGCGATGTTTGATTTGGATATGGGTTGCCCAAGTTAGGCGTCGATCAAGATGGTAGAAAAGTTGTTCTCAGAAAAAAAATGAATTAACATCATTGTAAAAACAATACAATCTTTGCTTCGATCAGAATCTAAAATATCGAAAAAGTCATTTAATAAATCCGATTTTTAGAAAACTTTTACTAACGTTGAGTCAATTATTTTTAAACAATTTTTAAAGTTTTCCTTTAAAATTAATTAATTTCCATCAATCCGTTAACGAAATAATCCAGTTTTAAGTTTAAGTAGATACAAATAAACAAAGTAGTTAGATTAGGTTATACAAATTTACAAGAAAAAAAAATATAATATACATACACCCTATATTATATGATGCATACATCTAACATCATGCATTCATTCCTATACATAACTTAAAAGTTAAAAATAGATAATATTTATCGTCACCGATACCCAACAATATTATCTAAGCAATTAATGATTTCCATCGGGAAAAGATTTTGTAAATAGTTAGGTCATTAACCATGATAACAAAATTAATTTTGTCTAATATTTGATATTTCTTTACTATTCTTCAAATTTTCTCTGGGGAACCCCGGAAACATGCCTGAAAGAAACACTAACTTGTGCTGCGCGTATATATCTGAACAAGATTTATAGTCGAATTTTTATTCACAGGAAAAAAAAAAAGACAAAAAAATAAACTAATTATAACTAATACATTTTTCGAATAACTCAGAATCTAAAATAGTCAATTTTAATTTTTGAAACAAAATTAATTTGTTTTTTCACTGTTACCTACTCGACGTGTTTTTGCAAAAACATTTTTACGGAGCTCGGGTTTGAACTTTGAACCCTTGGGGTGACATTAGGTACATACATCCATAATAGAATACATACTAATAATTGTGTATAACTAGATTAAAAGTTTTGAAAATTGTAGAATGTCAATAAATACCAAGTATAATTTTTCTGTCAAAATTCCTAGTATTTATGAATATACTAAACTAAATTACATTAAAATAATGAAAAAATTATTTTCGTACATTTTTTTGTACTTTCGGAATTTTTTTTCCGTTTTGCTCGATAATTATAAAAACTACAAAAAGAATTGTTTCTTTTCTAGAATCTTGTTCACCAACTAGATTTAAAATTCAACAAAAAAGGTCTCTTGATATTTTTTTTTTTTTTTAGAAAAAAATATCCGTACAAATTTAAAATATTAATAAACTGAACTTATTAATTTTGGAATTATTTTTATAATGAATTAAGCGTTTTACATTTTAAATTTGACAAAACTTGAAGTTTCTAAATGATTAACCCTGACTTCGGAGGGGATACAGTTTATTTACATCAGACCTATACTAAAGTAACTAAATCAATGTTCAGCTTTCCACTAATTTATTATTCTAACTTTATTTGTTTTAGCTGTGGGTGGTCGGAACAAAGCGTACAAACGAGAATAATATTATGACGCGAGCGCAGTTTTTACGAGCATAGTAAAATCATATGCAATCAATCACAAATTATTGTAAAAAACACTATTTTAATAATAATTTATAATTCAGACGTATATTTGTACTAGTGTACACCTGTATATGTTCATAATTAAAATAGGTACTTAAATGTTAACATTATGTCATAATTCAAAAAAAGTAGTTTAATAAAATTTAGTGGTAAATAATTTACAATTTAAAATCAATCACTGTATAATGATTCCTATACATAACATATAAAGAATTAAGATTTGTGGGACGGTTTAATTAAGGACATACATGTACCATCTGTTAAGTGTCTACCGAAATATATGATTTAATTTATCATAATTGTTATAATATAATAAATTACTTATCCACCGTAACACATTTACTATGCTAAACCTATCACGAATAGACATAACATATGAACTAAAACAAATACATACGTTAGATGACGAATAATTATAATATTATACAGCCAACGGTTAGTGACTGTGTGTCAAAAAAAAAAAATTATATTCACAAATAACATAAATATAATTGGTATCATTTGACGTAAGTTTAAATTACAATAAATAATATTACACAGTCAGTAATTAAATTTGGGAAGGATGCAAGTTGACTCCATACCTTAACAAACTTTTCAGTAATTTTGGCTGTAATTTAAATTGGAACGAATGGGAGGGTACACACTTGTGAATTTTTATTAAAATGAATTTTCATTAAAATTTGAATTTCAAACGCTTAAAAAAAAATTACTAACTCTTTTTTCATCCCTAATTCTAAACCATGCATAATATTATGGTATATTTTCGAGCTTTATTGCTGAGTCAATATAATTTTAATCACGTAAAACAAATATTTAAAAAATCAAAAATTTCAAATAGCTATAAATAAATGAAAAATGCCTCAAAAGAACTATATGTAAGGATTAGGTGAAATTTTCGACATCCACGAACAGTTTTCACAAAAAACAAAATCGAATATAACCGAAATTGTCATTGTGTAAATATTACATTGCACCAAATAAAAAATATTATTTTTACCAAAAACCATCCACCCATAAAATTGATAATCAGAGAAAGATTTTTGATGTAGAATTTTTTTACAGGCTAAAAATGAAATATACTTCATGTTCATAGGTAGTAAATCATCATAATGATGACTATTACTCGCTAGGACTACTGTTGACAAAGCAACACTGTCAACTAAACTCCACTCAGAATCGTTTTTTCATTAGCAACGGTTTATTGTTACTTACAGATACAAATGAATTTTCCCTCTATGTTCTACATTCCTAACTTCTCATCAACAACAATGATTGCACCCATCATGCGAAGTATGTCAGTCTTTTAGATTCTGAGTGGAACGAAGAAGGTTGTAGTTTTACAATTTTTTTTTTTCATTCTATGCGCAACTTTTCTAAGAGAAAACTTCCTCAAATTTTTAATAGCACCTTTTCTGAAAGGAAATCGCTATGGGGAAGTATTCATTCATTTATTTAATTTTTATACATAATTTTTTTATTCATATATTTATTTATGAATATTAACCATTTTAATAATTTTATTTTAACTTTATTATTTTATTATTTAATAATATACTGCGGGGCCCATTAAAACTAAAAGAAAAGCAAGTCCCTGGACTTATGTCCCATTTGTCCTCGCCTAGAATATTTTATCCTATCAACATTATATTACGAGGGTTGTCCCAAAAGTAATTCACAATTTGCTCTGAATAAGTTTTTATTTTAAACTAAATACAATATTATAGACCTTCGATATAATCTCCCTGCTTGTCTATACACGATTGCCATAGTTTCGGGAGCGCTTGAATGCCGCATAGGACGCCATCTTTGTTGAGTTCACGGATCCTTCGGCTCACTTCTTCATTTAGTATATCTAAGTTGAGAAAACGGATCCCTCTAAGTGGTTCCTTCAGTTTTGGAAATAAATCAAAGTCCGGGGGACTTAAATCCGGCGAATACGGTGGGTGTTTGGGGCGTTCCCATCCATATTTCTCAAAAGAGCGACGACTGGTGNCCGTTAAAATGCGGTGAACACTTGATTTTGAAATACCTGTTTCATTCTCTATCTCTCTCACCGTTATTCGTCGGTCTTCATCGAGTAGAGTTGCGAGAATAGCCGCGTTAGTGTTGTCTTGAGTAACCGTAGAGGGTCGGCCAGAGCGAGGGTTGTTATCAATACTTATACGACCATCACGGAATCGCTGATGCCATCTTTGCACCGTACTACGATCCACAGTATCCGTTCCACACACTTCATTTAACGCGGCATGAATTTCAGGCACTATTTTACCACGAATCGTTTCGATTTTAATGTATATGCGTTGCTCAAAAACAGAAATATGAGCCGACGAATTGTTCTCACTTTCGTTATCGCTCTCACAAATCATCATACTTTACTAAAACAACTAAAACTGAAAACGCACGTGTTCGTTAGACTTCAAGCTACAAACTGATACTAAAATCAGCTGATAATATCACATTGCAAGACAGCTAGAGCGCGCTGTGCATTACTTTTGGGACAACCCTCGTATTTGAAAACACCATGATAACTTCTCTAATCTGTTGTCTCTGCGCATATCCAAGATTGGACACCAAAAATCTTTTTTAAAACTCCTCATATTGTTTGACATAATTTAACATTGGCTATAGATTTAAGAACTAACAGTTATTCGGGTATTTGAAAATATCCATGTATATTATTTTTTCGATTTATTTACAATTTATGAATTTTGATAATACTTACTAGGCCAGATAACATTATATACTCCCTCGCTTCCCACAGATCAATTGTTCTACAACTGTGCTTGAATACAAGTCTATTATTAAGTGCAAGGGTTTCAATGTTATACGTACCCATGTTTTGAAACTAAATAGTTTGCTTTGCTTATTCTAATACCTAGATATTATAATAGTACAAAAATAAAGAATTTTAAATATTAGATATAGTGACAACTTATAACATAGGCTATTTCAACTGCTATCAAACCACTACTATTATTTCATATTTGTTTATGAACCACTGAAATATTGATATTAATATAAAAAAAATTATTGTTGCAGAACCTTATCAAATAGAAGTATACAAAATAAATAATCAAGTGAAAAATGTTAGATTAATGAATGAATTAATATATGAACTTACAAAATTCAAATGAAAAATATTTTAATATTTAATTAAAATGTCAAGTTCAATTACTTTATCTTGACAGTTATTTTAATTTATCAAACTTAATTAATTGTTCATATAAAAAATATGATTATAAAAAAATACAATTATCTGTTCAAAAATGTTAAATAATAATGAATATCAAAATATGTGTATATAATTGGACCAATGATAAAAGTTATCTGAAAGAAAATAAATATATAAGTACATTATATATTACATTACATTATAATAATTGTATTATAGCTTAAAAGAACTATATAATAAATACATCTTATAGTTTTACTTGAATTTTTATGGAGACAAATTCTGCTGTTTGAATGATACATCTAGAAAGAAACTATATTAAAATTAAGTAGGAAAATTAATTTTATCTTATTAATTATTACCATTAAATTCATCTTCTGAACAACTTTCATCTGGTGTAAAACGACATTCATTATCCAAATATGATTTTAATTTATTACTAGCTGCTAACATTAAACCTAAAAATGGCGGTGATGGTTTCAGAGGCCTTGTTAAATATTCTGGATGAAACTGTGTAGCAACATAATATGGGTGATCATCAAGTTCGCATATTTCCATTCTAATTTTTTCTGTATCCGTTCCAACAAATTTCAAACCAGCATTTTCTAGACTTTCTAAATATTTAGTATTTACTTCATAGCGATGGCGATGTCTCTCTTCAATAGATTTTTTTCCACCATACAGTTTATCTTTAATTGCATAGTCAAAAATATAAACATCCATACATGAAAAAATTTTACTATAACCTTACATGTAATTGATGATTCATTTTTAAAGATTGTTTCTCGTTTACCAAGCCTCATTGTTCCACCTTTGTTTTCTGTACAATGCTCAGGCATTTCAATAATTAATGGATTTGTAGAATCCGGATTTATTTCAGTAGTATTTACATTTTCTAACTTTAATACATTTCTGTAAACAAATTAAATATTTTTTTATTTTAAATAAATATATTAATTTAATATGTTATTGAAAAATTACCTAGCAAATTCAATAACTGCAACTTGCAAACCGAGGCAAATTCCTAAAAATGGCTTTCGATTTTCACGACACCATCTACATGCTTCTATTTTACCTTCGACACCTCTAGTACCAAAACCTCCGGGTACAATTATTCCACTAATAATACAAATCAAATTTTATTTATTTATTTGTAAAACATGAATAAACAAATAACTTACTCACTACTACATAGTTTTTGCCATGCTTCATGGTAACCAACCGGATTTAGCACCTTGGTTTCAATTTCTAGATTTGCAGCTTCAACATACTACAAAAATTTGTAAATGCAATAAGACTAATAATATATATATATTAATATATTAATATTATAGTTTAAATTTAATAAAATAAGTTATTACGGTAATTGACACCCCATGGTTTATATGAGCTGCAGCGTGGATTAATGATCTGGATACTGATGCATATGCATCAGTAAGTTGTGTGTATTTACCAACTAAAGCTATTTTTATAATTTTTTGAGAGCTGTTCAACCTAAAAGTAATTAAAATTATTTAGAAATATGTATTTAGGGTGATCCATTTAAGTGGGTATACTTAATTTTTCAACAAGTACCTATTGGCCTATTTTTAAACATTTAAGAAACAAGCAACTCTAAAATATTAAATTAACATTTATTTTTCCTCCTTATTTTGGAAGGAAGCCACTAAGTATCTATTTTTGATTACAAAATAGCAATTAATTAAAAATTATGAATTCCATAAATAGATAAAGTTTTGGTTACCAAGGCTGTCCAGATATTTGTATATCTATTAACCTTTGAGCAGGCACATGGCTGTATTTACACCACACTTTTAAAAAATTTGTGCCCATTTGTTAATAGCTTCATGCAGCTAAACTAAATCATTAGACATTTTCTAATTATTTATTTAGACGACAGATATTATTTAGATACCTAACTGTGGCGTGCTTATTATTGTTTGTGTTATTTCAACTTCCACCTGACATCAAAATGTATTCACAAGAGTGATATTGTTATATTTTTTAAAAAATTAAGTCAGCGGTTATTTCTCAAAAACCCTTATTATAGGATTTTGTTACTTATTTTATACAAAAGTCTAATAAGCTTGTTATTTTATAATTTTTTTAAGTATATTTATATTGGTATAATGCTATACCATATCCATATAGTACTACAGTATAATTTATAGTTTAATGAACTCAAAATTAAATGATAAGGATGTCATAGAAAACAAATACTAGTTTTGATTTTATTTGTTTAATACTTTTTGCATTTATAGGCAATAGGTGTGACACTTCAACATCATTCAAACACAATAATTTTTTTTTATTCTAAATAAATGTAAAATTAACATAAACTATTAAAATACTATAAGGTTTATGTGCATTATCATTCAATTCAAATGCTTCAAAAGTGGCGCTAAACGAGTGCGGTGTAAAAACCGCCATGTACTTGCTCGTGTAACTTCGAAATGCACGCCTGCTCGAAGATTAATATTCAATTTTTTAGACAAAAAATGTTTTTCTGTTTAATAGATTTTCTTTCAAGAAGACATATATTTAAAGAATTATTTTATTTGTATTCTTATCCCTTAATCAAAAGAAAAAATAATTTTTTATTTGTTTACTTTTCGAAATTTTTAATATAGTTGATTATTATAGTATTATAATCTAACTTGAATACATATTCAATGAATAGTTTCATAGAAATAGCCATTTTAATTTCTACAAAAGGAATGTAAATAAATTATTTCCAATAGACTACCCACATTATGCAATAGGGAATCACAATTTTAATATAACTGTCAACTGATAATTATTTTAAGAAAACAAAAAAAAAAATTGAAAAAATATATGATTTTATTATGTTCACAGAATATTTATTTTAATAAATTATATATTATAATATTATACATATTTTAATTTATTATCAGCGTGGTAAAATAATTAAAAAATTGTGGAGATTTATTTATAGACATTGTTATTGATACAATATATGTTATGTTTTTGTTACTGATAAAACAATTTTTTTATGAAACTGATTTTCCCGTTACATTTCCAACCCACCACAACCGTCACAACTACACCACTTTTATCTCCACATTAGTCCGTTCACCCAACTCCTGCCTACTATTTCTATTATAATTAGAGTCGCTGCAGTAATAACACCATACCACTGCTCTTGCCCCACATATTACATGCAACTCATTACTGTTATGTACCCCACAAAAACTAAAACTTGATTCAATTTTTCTGTGCAATGAAGAAAAAATAAATTAAAAATAAAATAAATGTAAAGAAATAAAAGTTTCATTATTATTTTTTTTTTTTTGTTATTATGTTATTTTCAGTTAAAAATAATCTTTAAGATTTTCACTATAATGGCATTTTTGAGATTTTCAATTTTTATTTGATGATGTAAGAGGATAAAATTGTTTAGGATGAGCAAAAATGATTAAAAATTTAACAGTGTTTATTTTAAGTTTTAGTTAATGGCCAAAAAAAAGAAAAAGTTTAGAATGTCAAAACATGTTCACTTGAACTTCATTCAAAATCGTATTTCATTAGCAATAACTATCATTGCATACAGATATAAATTAAATACGAGTATGTCTCCTACCTTCCCAACTTCTCACTTACTATAGTGGCATACCTTATCAGTAGGGTTCGCATTTTGTAGTAAATGTTACTTTTAATAGAAGTGCGATAAAAAGATAATTCTTGTATATAAATGCGTATTGAATCGTTCTGATTTCAATGAAATTACTTTATTTTACTTTTTTCCACAATTGTTTTTTTTTGGCTTTTTTCCCCATTTGGTATTCTTAATTTTTACATAATTTTCATGAAAATTGAAGATACATATAATATATTATACTTTAACTATATTATTATTACCAGTCATTATCATACTAGTGAAAAGTAGATACCAATCAGTGAAGTATAGTGTTCTATAAAATATTATTGTCAAAAATTTAATATTTAAATTTAAAATTATAAAAGAATTCAGTCAAAATAGGTTAACGACTGACAGAAATATTATATTTTGTAAATTGTGTGATGTCAAAATAAATTTACATAAAAAATATAACGCTCAATAACATATTGGTAGAGAAAAACATAAAGAAGCATTGAAAAAACATGAAGCTGGAAAAAAAAATTAAATTTAAAGTGTAATTTAAATTTGTTTTTATAGAATTAAATTTAATAAATAGTTTTTATTTTTGCTTTTTGGGCTACATTTTTTTTAAAGGATTTATTTTGCTACAAAATCCAAACCCTACTCATCAGTAGTATACATTTTTTTTTTTTTGCTTTTAATATATCATAAAAATATTACATTAACGCCCCTAAAATACAACAAAATTCTAACTTCATACATTTACAGCTATAATCAACTTAAAAATTGTACAGTATTTAAAAAGAACTTATATAAGTATACAGTGAGAGTTTCAGGTTTTTAACTATGATTATTTTTAACTAAATTAAAAATAAAAATAAAATAAAAACCGAAATTATTATTTTACAAATACTCCCATATTTTTCCACTATTTAAAAATTACAAGGAAATTTAAAAATGAACTTTCTTATGCTCCAATTTAGACAATTGCTATTATAAACCAACCCTGAAGTTGATAACTAGAGTAAGATCTCTGGTGAAAATGATGTTTATATACACAGTATATATATATATATATATATTTAATAATATACACATAATATGTATACATAAAAGTATGCATAATATTGTGCAAATTAACACATTCCTTGCTTTGCTCAGTAACTAAGAAAAAAGGAAAAAAATAATTAAATATACTTGTCAGACAGTTTTTTCCACTGCTTCATGAAAATCCGATTATAAGCCACATTTATGGGAAAATTTAACCGGTCTTGCAAAAATTCTAAAGCACCTTGTTTTTCCATAAATAAAGGTACTTGGTAAATTGAATCCAAATCATGCATGAATAAAACCTAAAATTAAAGTTCTTATTTAGAAATAAAAATATTTAAATAAATTTAGTTTCTCATACTTGTCTTAAAGCTACATCACAGAAAGTTGATATTTTATTTTTCACTTGTTCCACATTAGTACATGGTTTTGTACTTCTGCAAATAACAAGATCCGGTGTTAAACCTAAACCTCTAAGTTCACGTACACTGGCTTGTGTTGGTTTTGTTTTATCATCTCCAGTTGCACCAGGCTGTAGATGATACGTAATAATGAAAATTAAAAAATTACAAGAGTAACAGATTACGATTATAATATATAATTAATATACCTGGAGAATAAATGAAACATGGGCACATATGAAATTTTCTTTTTTAACTTTAAACTGGAACTGTCTAAAAGCTTCAACGAATGGCATACTTTCTATATCACCAATAGTACCTCCAAGTTCAACAACACAAACCTAATAAATATCATTAAATAATATGTATTCTATTTATTAAGTATTTATTAAATATAATAGTGGAGTTTATGTGGTTATAACTTTAATATAGTGACCCATGTGCCTACTTCATACTGTCTGCACCAAAAATTAAATTAAATATTTTAAACATTCTATAAAAATAATTGAACAGTATTTATTTTATGTAAACAATGTTCCTATTGAATTTAACTGAAAGTTATAGATTTAGTCATAAGATATTTTTAAAAACTCATTTAAACAAACAATTGTCTTCATTTTGTTTCATTAAACTTCCTCTATCATTTTCAAAAATTAGAAATACAGCTATATGTTTGAACCTAGATAAATGTGCAAACAAGTTTTTTTCATATGAAAAAAATAATATACAACTTCCACCTATCAGACTATTGCATTTTATTTTTGATGCCTTATACTTATATATATATCTTTAGTTGATATTTTTGATAATTTTTAATGAGACTAAAATTTTAATATACCTTTGTACACCTTTATAAACCTCTCAAATAAAACATTAGAGATGAAATTTATCATGTGTTTGGTGTATTTATTAAGTATTAGCTTTTTTGGTGGTTTCAACTACCAACTCCACATAAACCATTTAGATGCTCAAAAATATCAAAGTTTTACTCGAAATACTATATTTTAAATACCTCTATAGACTAAGGCCCATTCTTACAATGTCCGGTTAAGTGTTGGTTAGCGCTAACAGGCAGTTATACTGAAATTTAACTGTCAGTTGGTTCTTATATACGTTGATTAAGGAAAAAGTCTCTAGTTAACAGAGGTTTTACAGTGAGAATATTAAAAAGCAGAATTCTGCTGGTTATCCCCCGGTTAAGCTAAAATCCCTTGGATTATGTTACCAATAGGTACTTATCAATACTTTTTATGATTATTGTTACTACTAGTAATTTATTCTATACTAATAATTTTTTGTTTTATAAGTTTATCTGTATATGTATCATTTTTGTTTTATTTTTACTTTTTTGTTAGAATTATGAAAATAGCAATATATAACTGCGGTTTGAATAAAAGAGATTCTTCAGTTCAGACTACGAAAATGAAATGTCAGAATTGAATACTGCAATTAGGAAACAGATCATTTTTCAAGAACGCAAGAACTACCTTGAATTATTAATAGACAACAGTTAATTTTGTAGCCAACTAGACCAACATAGTCTCTTCTGTTGTAGAAAAATTACAGCTACATGGTCTCTTATTATTTGTTGACATATTTTAAATAGTAAAGACGCTAATAGTTAGGACGTTGAATAAGTAACGAAGAATATGCCAATTATCAATATGATTATAATACAGAGATTGTTTTGTAAATAGACAAGAAAATATTACATTTTAACATTTATATTAGTTATAACAAATTATCTGAATGTATAGATAACAATAACAATAACAATAATAAATCAAGAATTGTGCATGCATAGAACAATAAAATAGTCATGCGCGGTTGTTTTGGGAATTACTATCGGTTAATTATATAATCGTTAATCAAAGGTTATAAAAATAGATTGACGTAACCGGCACTTATTCAAACATTGTAAGAACAGCCCTTAATGGGTTAAAATTTGTATAAATAAATTCAACTGTTATCAAGGATGTGTCTTTAAAACGTTTGAACTTTTTACCCTGCACCACTACTATAATACATTGTTAGAGTCTGTTAATTACTTCAAAGAAGGTAATGTTTTTTAAACATTTGGATTAAATAATAATAATAATCAATAAAATTGTTTTACTTAAGGACAAATGTGAAAAACAGAGTTATACAATTTGTATTGTTTTTTTTTTATGTATTTCAACTATTAGGAAAAGTATTTCACAAGGTAATGAAAACAATTTCTAAACAGAGACAGGGTGATCAGAATTTAATGTTATAGCATTTCTTTCTTATAACATACAAAATAGAGAATAATGTATAATCAAACATTTATATTGAATAGTGTAATCCAAAATTGCTCTTTTGGGCGCTTAGCCAAGTAGTTTCTTGGATAGTTGGAGTATTAGTTAAAATACATTTTTGTGTTGACATTTTTGATTTCAATCAACTTGTTGATAAGATATTCTACTTTTTAGTTTAGATGAGGGGAGAGTAATGGAATATTAGATATCTTACATGGTAGAACAATATTTAAATAGTGCTCTACTACTATCCCTATGACTAAACTAAAAAGTAAAATATCTCGTCAACAAGTTGGCAGAAATCAAAGATGTCAACACCAAAATTTATTTTAACTAATATTTCATCTAATAAGGAATTTTAAACATAGGTTGCCATTAGTATTTCAATAGTTGATTATTGTAATTTTAACATAGTAGTAACTTATTGAATATATCATTTTCATACCCCTTTTCTAACAATTAAAAAGGTTATTACAATGAAATTATTCATCAGATATGTATATGTATGTTAGATTTAAGTTTTTAGATTTACTTAGTAGTTATTTTAACCATTTTGAAAATTAAAAAATAAAACATATTTTTTTTCTAATGGTTCAGAATTGAAAATATAAATTTAATTTGTTCTATGACTCAAACTCTTATTGAAAAATGTTTAATATTAACAAAAATATTAGCATTGAGGAAAACATGATGGGACTGTGAGATATCAAATATTTTAAATAACCTTACATCAGGTTCTACTCCATCAGCGCTCACTGGTTGTTTGGCAACACGCTCAACCCATTCCTGTATAGCGTCTGTGATGTGAGGTATAACTAAAATAGAAAATGAATTATTATAATGGGTTTTAGTGCAACTATGAAGAGGAAGTCAAACATGTATTTATCGACTCTCTCTACCTAATGGGCAATATAGCAAACATTTGTTTTTTTTTTTCTTATTTCCTATAGTACTCAAGTCTTTTTCAACTGAACAATTAGAGTAAATACTACGGTTATATATAAAAATAACAATATAAACTAATGCAACAAAATATTTTCCTTACGAAAATAAAATAATATTACAATTTTTTCCATTTAGGTATTGGTTATTAAAAAAAAAAATTTATATAAGTACAGGCAATCGATTAGAAAAATATACATATAATCAACTTTATGCTATGAAATTCCAGTTATTATGCCTATTATTACTAATATGTTATTAAAGTGTGTTTATCGCAGTTACAATTTGAGACTATAAATTTAAACTATACACGAATAGGCAACGATTATTAAAATTGTGTGCCATTTTAAAATGGAATATATATTATATTTATTTTATACATAAATCGGGTATTTTTTTTTTTTTTTTTTTTTACAACAAATGGTGACAACAACTAATCCTAAACTGAAGAGCAGTTTTTGAAATCATAATTTACTGATTTTATGAGATTTTTCTGACAAAAGACAAGTGTTTAAATCCAAATAAAATTAATTTTAAAAACAAACAAACGTACGTCACACGAAGGGTGGGTCACTTTTGTAGGTGAGAAGTTGAGAAGATAAAGGGGAAATTTAAATTTAATGTTTATTTATACGCAACAATTAATATTTGCTAATGAAAAACAATTCTGAGAAGTTTGGTTACATACATTTTGATTTACAAAAGCCGTAAAATTTGTGATTTGAAATAATACATTTCCTACATTTTCTCTGTTTTATCTACATTTAATCCAGATTTTCCCATTTGTTATGAAAATTCCTGGGAAAAATCAAAAATTACCTTGAAATATTACTCCAGTCAGATTTTCTTTTAAAAAAAAATCTGTGCAAAATTTATGGTAGAAGTTGTTTCCACTCAGAATCTAAAATTTCAAAAATGTTAACTATAAACATTTAGTAGTATTTCTCAAGTTTATTTCTGACACTATAATTAAATCCATATAAAAAATGAAGCATGAAAACTATAAGAAATACGAAAATATTATATTTTGCTAAATTTCCCATTATATAAACAGATATGGAAAATGCAAGTTTGACTAATCAATTAATAATTTTTAAACTGATTAATATTTTTGTAATCATTTTATTAAATATTATTAATCTCACTAGTAAAATTTTAAATAATAATTGGTTGGTAAATATAAATGACATATTTAACTTTATACATTATGAGTGATTATAATACAAATGGAATGTTAATTAATAGTTCTATGTTATCATGTATATAATTGTTTTGAGTTCATAGTTTTATTCTTTTAAACAAAATATGTACACTTTTTTCATAGGTTGAGAGTATACTATAAAGTATATTGAAAGGTATTCACATTATTTTTTATATAAGTGTACACTTAAAAAAACAAACATAGCTATTTTATTAATATTACTTTGTAATAAATACAATCATCCCAAACCACATAAATAATATGAATAGATAAATAATAATTAATTTATTAAAATATATTATGTTTTGTATTTTTTTTTTAAACCATGGCCTACACATTTTTAACGTGATTGTATTAAAAATGTTTATTCAATTTTGCATTTTTATGTTAATTACAACAAAAATTGAATCCATTATTTTTAAATGAAATATAATACTTATAAAACTATTTTTAACATAATATAAATTTAGTTAAATAAATAAAATTATAATCAGTTTCAATTACCATTAAATAACAAAATATCAAATCACATTAGTTATGACAAAAAGCATAAATCAATATCTAACTTTTAGATTTTTGTTTAGGAACCATAGTCCATTTTTTGAATTCTGTTTATTTTTTATTTAATAAAAAAAAAGACAAGGCAAATTTTGTCTGTATATTATGTCTAATGAAAATTTAAGTAGCTTCCTGGAATTTTTACCAGCTCCTATAGTCAAATCACTAGGTAGAAGGTTACCCAATATTAAACAAATATTTAGAAAACTATTTAGCTACTAATTAACTAATTTAGCTACATAGGTATACTTATATATGTATTTATCATTAAAAATCTCTAGCATAGGTAAGAATATTAATAATTTTTTTTTTATAAATACAAGTATTACATAATTTCTAACATTTAAAGAAAAATACTGGATTACACCAAGTATTAAATGCTGTACCTTGAACAGTTTTGCCTAAGTAATCGCCTTTCCTTTCACGACTGATAACTTCTTGATAAATTTTTCCAGTTGTAATGTTGTTTTGACTATGCAATGTTACATCAAGAAACCGTTCATAATTTCCCAAATCTAAATCAACTTCACCACCATCATCCAACACATAGACTTCCCCTAGATAGTCAAATCAATCTAGCATATATATTCAGAATGTTTTATGATTTTAATACAACAATATTTCTGAATCTTACCATGTTCGTATGGTGAAAAGGTCCCGGCATCAATGTTTAGATATGGATCGATTTTGATGGAAGTTACATGGACACCGCAAGACTTCAATAGCGTACCAATAGACGAAGCAATAATGCCTTTACCCACGCCGCTCATAACACCACCAGTAACCAAGATATATTTCATTTTTATTATTATAATGAATAAATTACATACAGAAAAAATTCTGAAACACTATAATTACTAAAAAAATGATTGACAATTAAATTTTATTTCAGCTGTTAAGAAAATAAAACCAATTATAGTACAACTGAGCACAATGACTTACACAACACGTGTGAAGAAGTGTCTACGTAATAATAATAATTACTGTTAGTTGCCAGTTGCCTTTGTATAATTTTGTTCACATTTTACATTCACACGCGAAAAGCGCGGAAAAAAATGTAAACATACTTTTCTAGGTTAATATTTTATGGTTATATTCTATGCCATGTATTCTACTATCATTTTTTCTCTTTTAAAAAAATTAAATAGTTTTTAAAAATACCTATGTAAATAAAAAAAAGCATTGTCAACATTTCCAACAAATCACAAATTTATAGCATATCTATTATTCAATGACAAAAATGTATATTAATTTGAAGCAATCATTTTTCAAAATTGTTATCTATGGTATTTATAATCACAATTGATATCAGTGGAACCAGTAGCTAAGACCTAGTTAAGGTTGGCACTTAAATCATATAATCTCACCGTTTATGATAGAATGGTTGCGCGTTGAAATCTTACATAAGAATTGATTGTTGTTTACTAAATTACTAACAAATTAGCATACATGCCGTCTATATAACATCGATTTCCATAATATGTTTAATTAAACAATGATAATTATTACTGCGATTATTATATTTGATTATGGCTTTTACTATTATGTTTATTTATTATTTTTAATCTCTTATAAGTATCTCAAATTCTCAATAATTATTCACTATTTCACTGTTCTCTTTTTGTGTATTGCAAAATGTCGAACTATTCTACTAGTGTTGTTTAATTTTAATACATAGTTACTTACGACTTATTTTTTCAATTAAATTCCTAATATATTTAATTAGGCACTTAAATAGTAAATACAAGTTACAAGCTACAAAAAAAAATTAACATGACGTACCTATACAATATAAATATTTAAATTTATTGGATAAATAAGTTATTAAGAATTTATAATAATAATAAATTATTAAATATTGAAATCATACAACAATATAATATTAGACAATATTCAATTTTTATAATATTTAAACTTAAAATGTTAAAGCCTTGTAGGCAAACATGATGAGCTTTTTCTAAGGTTATCCCTAAATGTTCTTCCCATTTATTACGCATGTTCTCAATTTTTAGAATACCAAATTATATTTTGGATTATTATCGTATGGTTTACGATTACAACGTTAATTAGACATTATGAAAAAAACAAAGTATTAAAATAAAATGCGTACTTTATTAAACTTTTGCATACTAATTGATATTATCATATCCGTATTCAATCGCAGTATAACTGTTAATCTTTTAATACACTTTAAATTAATTATAAGTACCTAGTCGCTAATCATGAGAACAGTTTAAGGTTAAAGCTAAATAATATCGCCGTTTTTTATTTATTTATTTTTATTTCAAAATTCACGATAATGACAATGATGATTTGTGGTTTTCCAATTAAAAACTCAGCGGTTTTGATAAATATAAATATATCGTAGTGCACATTTCGTGTAGAAAAGGCAAGCATTATTAAAACCAACAATAATATTCTATAGATTATGAATATGACCACTAGATCGTGTTAAGAGTTAATAAATTGCCATAAGCACTTTCTTTTGCCATTAGTCTAGACCAAACTTTTCATGGTACTCATTTTGGAAATAATTTAAATTTTGGTAACCCACAAAATTATCAATGATCCTTTTTTTTGATTTATTTTTCATTTCTGGATGATTCATGAAATTTGTTCAGTGGCATCATACTCTCATTTGCAAGTATAGACTTAATTTGCTAGTAGAAAATTTGTTCACAGGAAAAAAAAAGGCTGAAATATTTTTTACCTAATGCGTACACTTCGTAAATTTTCCCGTTTTTCCGATTTATAGGAAAATCATAAAATGACCTTTCTTAAGTACTTCCACTGTCAGATTTTTGGATAACTTTTCTACCAGAAATTTTACTCCAATATGCAATTATAGCACTTTTTCTGAAAGGAAATTTGACTGGGGTTGTACTTTAGAGAACTCATTCTCTGATTTTCCCTGGAATTGAGAAAATTAAAAAAACCACGAATAATGTAGGAATAAAGAGCAAATAAGTATTTATTATTTAAGTATTATAGTATTAAATAAATATTATTAAAAAAATGCATATGTAATTATTTAATCCTAATATGACAAATATTAATGACAAAGCAAGACTATCAACCGAACTCCGCTTAGAATCGTTTTTTCGTTAGTAATGGTTAATCGTTGCTTACAGATATATATTCAATTACCAATAAAAGTGGCTGCATTCATAACCATTATCCTAGGAGAGCTTTTTATTTTTTTAGGTACCAATTACTAAATGTTACATTTAATATTTTTTTAGTAAATACAGCATAAATGATTTAATGTATATTATTATTGTGATAATAATGCGAACTACGAGATATTGCCGTATCAGTTATAGTTTTCTAAAAGCAGGAAATCCACATTAAATTAGAAATGACAATAATAACGTTTATCTACTATCTAGTAAAATGATAAAAATAAAACCGAAATAGTATTTATCTTTCTCATTGACAGAAACCATTTTTGAAACTATAAAAATCTAATTTCATCATAATTTTTATGAAATTTCAGGGGAGGGGGTTGAACCCCTAAAACCTACTCTTGTACACGGGCCTGATTCGTGATGCTACTATATGCTAAGTTATAAATTTATAATAAAACTTTATAAACTTAAAACTTTTAATCGTTCACTAAAGAGTTACCTAAGTTCAACGTATAAAATATTTTTTCATATAGTTTATGCCCTATGGTCTGTGGTTTAACTTTTAATTTTTAAGATATAAATCTAAATTTTGCATATTTTTAACTATTTTCATTGGACAAAATTAGAATTTGGAAAAACATTGATAGGTAATATAATATACACTACAATTCATACAAAAATTAATACATTACATTTAAATAAATTAAAAAATATTCATCTCTTGAAGCTACGTTTGTTGTGGGGTAAATTAATCAGGTATCATACATTTCAAATGTTTTAAATAAAATCAAATACCAAATTTGAAATAAATTATAAAATATATAATTATTCCGACGTACAGGGATTAACAAATTTTATCTTATATTATAGTTACCTAGATAATTATTATAAATTTAATTTTTACAATTTTTTTAACAAATATTCTAACTAGTTGTGTATCTACAGTAATTTTTTAAATTATTTTTTTTGTAAAAGGTCTTTTTTGGGTTAACGTTTGCTTATGTTTACTGTTAACCCTTTGAGGCACACATTTTAAAATTGAAAATATTAAAATTTAGCACTCATAATACATATAAAAATAAAAAAAATAAATAGGTGGTTGCCACAATGCCACAAAGGGTCGAACATAGTGTAAATATGTGAAAATGTTTTCAGCAAAAATGAATTCAACCTACTGTATCAATAATAGGTAATAGTAAAACAAATTACTTTAATAACATAATCCGTACATGAATCATAGTCTTACTCTATAACATGAATACAATATACAACTGAGATATTTTATTCTATTACGGTTGTGTACATGTAGGCGGTAAGTTAAAAAAAAACATTTTTGAATTACCCAAAACGGGATAGGTCACTTCTCAGTTTTCTTGAAACCCGATCATAAAACGTAATTGGCATAATTTGTTATCTAATTTTTTTTAAATTTTTTCTTCCATGGTTTCAGAAAATGTGACTTGTTTTCGTAATCTTGTTTAATACAGTATTTGATCATTTCTAACATGAAGGTCAAGGTCGATTGAATGATTATTTTCAAATGATAAACGATCAGCAGTTTATGGGAACATTTAAAAATTTTCTCCTAGAAATATTCGAACTTCAAGTTCATACGTTCAGTTTCGTTTGAAGATTAATATCCATTTCTTATTTATTAGTTTATATTTATTAATTAGTCATTATTGTTATAAATTCATAATATTAACCATGTCACAACAAAAAGTGTGCATTTTAGGATCTGGAAATTGGTACGTATTAGTTAAATTTGGAATAACAATTAAATAATAAATTATTTCCGTTAATAAACTTATTTCAATCATTCAATTTACTCGCATTTTCACATTTTTTTTAAATTAATTACATATTTTGTTGTAATTGTTATTACATAATTTAAAAACTATTTAAATTTAAACTTTGGTTTATAATCTGTAATGATTATTTAACATTTACTCAAGTTATTTGGATTATTATTTTCATTTTTTAAATATTGTGTTTTAGTTGTTTTATTAGTGTTTCACTGAAGATCCAAAAATTATGATTTTATTTAGGTTTAATTAGGGGTACTAGTACACATTAGTTATACATTTTTATATATTTTAAAAATAATTTTGGAAAAATGTTATTGACAATGACTAACCCCATGAAATACTATATTTTACATTCTGAATGGATCAAAGAAGCTCATGGTTTTACAAAAATGTTTATTTTTTTTTTTCTGTGGACAACTTCTCTACCAGAGTCTTGCACTGATTTTTAAGTGTAGCACCTTTTCTAAAAGGAAATTGGTGTGAGGAGGTACTTTATAAAGTGATTTTTCGATTTTCAAAGGAGATTTCTTAACAAATGTGAAAAACCATAATATGACATATATTGTTGACAAAGCATCACTATTAACTGAATTTTGCTCAGAATTATTTTTTTGTTATCAATGGTTTATTATTGCTTATAAATATACATTAGATTAACCTTATTAATAATAAACACATAATTATTGGCTAAAGTTAGATTATTGATTTATGCAGTTATCTATTTGTTGTTCACTTTTTTAAATGGTTATTTAGTTCAGTATTGATAATATGTTTAGAACACATGAATTAAATTTTAGCTTAAAATAATGTTACATAAATTATTCATTACAATTTTTATTTTAAGCTATACAGAGTAATTTTAGGTAGATATATCTATTGAATTGCTTATGTTAGTAAAACTTCTAGAAGTCTGCTACACTGTAAGTAGATATATATTATTAAAAAAAAAAAATCAAGAGTAATAGCCATTATCTAAAGACCTATAATTTTTTGAAATGCTATTAGCACTTACATATATCAAAAATAATAAATTATTAACCAATATTTAAATAAACTTATAGCCTAATACTTGATAAATAATATAAATCATTTTGTATACATATGAATTATTAGGCTTTCACGTATTCCATAAATCTGAAATTAAAAACAATTATTTTTAGCTAGGTAGTTTAAATTGTGTATTTTAAATTGTATAATAAAAAAAATAAAAAATTTTTGATATGTTACAATTAATTTACAAACAAAAATTAAGTGGTCACATTATTAATACTTAGAGACATTATAGTGAATAAATATATTACATCATAAACACCGGCTAAAGTCTACCATTTTGTTTAGGTACAAATGTGTAATGAGATATTAATACAATTCATGTATTGAATTAGGTATTTAATTGCCTATTGAAAAAATAGTACATGGAAAATAATGAGAAAATATTTAAACAAACCTTGATGATAAAACTTTATCTGTATTTTTTTTTATTTTAAGCATACTGATTAATTTATCTTAAGTACCTACTTTAAATTAATATGATATATTGTTCTTAATTTTTATTGGACTATTTAAATTTTTAAATCACTATCTTATTAAATTAATTTTTTTGTTATTTATTATATATCAGTAATATTCTTCAAATTTCGTTGGTAATTCCCCTTTGATGTGTCATGTTTTTCAATTTATATATTATCTTAGATTTTTATTTGAAGAATGTGATTTAAGTGCTATGAAAACAATTTTTTTTTTTTATTTTAGGTATACTTAATAATTGATATAGGTAATTACAAACCATTCATTATACCTTTGTATAAATTATTATGCAATAATAATTATTTGTATCTAAATAATTTTGAAATATACCAATAATACTAAGCCTGTACTAATCTAGGTATTATAATAATTACATACTCTTCTATATTAACTGTATGAAAATAATTAGTGATTTACATAATATAGTCTAAAGTTAATAATAACTTTACAATGCACCCATTGGATGGAAATTCTATTACTTGATTACCCCAAAAAAGTTTTAATCAAGTCTTTAAAAAAAATCCCCGTTGGCTTATTTTATTTTATTACAAACAACTTATGAATAAATTTATTGAGATTAACTATTTATAACTATTTCATTGTTGAATTTTCCATATTATTAAGATTATTATATATTTTTTTCTTGCTACTTTTAGACACTGTTTGTGGGGCCTTTCTGGACCAAATGAGTTCAAACTCTAGAATTCAGAAATATTTGGTTGGTTTGCCAGACAAAACTATAGGAATTGCATTTAAAGAAATTTAAATTTTGAAAACATGTTTTTTTTTTTTTAGTTCTTTACTAGAATATTTTGGAATTATTTTTAGATTTTAAGTATAACGTGGGGTGTATTGATTTTACTTTTTATGTTTGTTTTTATGTGTTTTCTCCCAGAAATTTTGCACAAATCAAAAAATGATAAGAAGCTTCTTTAACAAAAATACAACATCACCTTTTTTATTTTTATCTATTTGATACTTTAAAATGGTTTTTTATTTATTTTTATTGTTTTTATTGTAGTTTGCATAATAATTGGAAAAAAAACTCGGAAACATGTATTATTTTATTATTTTTGACTTTCTATCTTGGTAGTTATTCAGTAAAAATTGTAAATGTCCAAATTTTTCACAGAATATTTATGTTAGTTTTTGATGTGATAATATTTTCAAAACATTCAGTTGACTTATAAGCTATATATAGACATTTTAAATTCACTACATTTAATGTAATAAAGTTGTGGCGATGTTGTAATGATGGTTAGAGGGGTGGATAAATAATAAACAGAATATTCAATAATAATATTAATGTTGTTTACCCAATACTAAATGTTCATAAATAATCACATTAATAAGTAATGAAGTTTATTTATAATCATAATATTAATTTCTCGATTAAAATGTAATTATATATGATTGAATATTGTGATATCTACAAAGAATAATATTATTGTAGTGGTTTATATAAAAATGCAATTTGAAGAAATAAACATAATATATTTGCAAAATGATTTTTAATAAATAATATTATATAAATAGCATGTATTTATGTATTCAAATTAATATAATTTTTGAATTATTATGGGATCCACTAAAATCTACAATTTATATTAATTCGTACAATAAGTGGGTTTGATGAGTGTATTTAGAAAAGGTATATGGGATGGCATCTAATAATATCAATCACCTAGTTTTTTATTTTTGTTATTATATTATAAAAGTATATTTTAATATTAATTTTAAAGACTAAAAATGTATTAGAAACTGTAATAAATAATCATTATTTTATAATTATTAATTATTTCTGTATAATTGTTGTTTCAATGATATTTGTATTATTCTGATTTATACAAATTTTATAGGGGTTCTGCAATTGCAAAAATTATTGGTACAAATGCAGCTTGTTTGGATTCATTAGATTCCTGTGTGAAAATGTGGGTTTATGAAGAATTGATCGATGGAAAAAAATTAACTGAGATTATTAATACAACTCATGAAAATGTAAAGTATTTGCCAGGAAAAAAACTACCTGAAAATGTGGTATGTATTATTATGTTCTTCTTTTAAGTATATATACTTAATATTACTTAATTGCGTTTTAATTTGTATTTATTATTTTTAAGAAATAAATACCACACAGCTTTAATTTATAAAAGTACACAAATATATATACATAATACATTATAACAATTTTATACAAAATTATTATCTCAGTTCACCTAAGTATAGTTCCACTTTAAGAATTAGTCTCTAGGTAATTTGTTAAATGGTATCTGGTATTGCTTCCGCGCTCTTGTATTCAAAAACCAACTCTAGATAGTAGCATTGGTGCGTCAACTTTTTAAATTTTTTTAATAATAGCAAGTAAGTACTAAGTACATACACAATAGAAAAGTTATATAAATTTTGATTTATATTGAAAAATATTATTTGTAATTTTGAAATTAGAAAATCAATGGTTTTTAAATTAGGTAATAAGTATTTGTAGGTTATTAGAGAAAATAAAGTAAGTAATTTTACATTTGGTTATTTATAACTGTAGGTATGCTATAATGTATAGTATTAAATTTAATCAAAAATATATAACACCATACATCTGTAACAAAATAAATTTTAAAAGTTTATTTGAAATTTAAAAATAAAACTTGTATATTAATTCTTAATAGCAGGTATATAAAGGTGTAACACTGACCTAAATTTAGTACATTGTACATTAGTATTTAAGGTTATTTTAACTGTTATATTTTTATTTGACTTATAGCCAATGTTTTGCAATAAACTATTTAGATTTTTTTTTAAATATATATATATATATATATATATAAACTTATCATAGTACATTAGTTGTGAAAACATGTACTGTTAACAGAATATAGTATTTTAGACTGAATTTTATTTTAATATTAAAACCTCGGTTTTAAAGAAGTTATTGGAGATTAATATGTATATATTTCTCTTACCTGGTAATTTTTTTACTAGATACCTCATGATTTCAAATTGTTATTGTTTTAATTTGTTTTGTAAAAGTAACAATCTAAAATGTAAATTTAAAAACTATACATATAAAATAAATATGAAAAAAAAACTTGGCGTATCATAATGGGTTATATTTATTTATGACTGGTTTAGATTTTAAAAATTATCATCAAGTAATAGAACATAAAAAACGAACAAATTAAAATAAATTAAACATTTAAACAGTTTATTGTTCTTTGTTTTGTATATGTAAAATAAAAACCTTCAATGTCAAATCTAGCTTTGCTCAAAATCTAAAAATATATTATGTACAGAGTAACTTGTTTAAGTTTTGACAATTGTACATTGAAATAACATTAAAGTGTAAAATTTTTATCCTCTTCTCTGTATATTAAAATAGTTTCTAAAATGTTGTGATTTTACAACAATCATAATTTTTAAAATATTTTACTTTTTTTTTACTTATTCTTATTGTACAAGATAATTTATTGTATTTAATATGCATACATATATAGCTTAAATGCACATAAATAATATGATTATGACACAGGTACTATATATGTTGTATTAAATTAAACAAAACAATTACATTTATAACATTGCAAACAGAGTGTAACTACACCTTCATACATAGCTAATACATAGCCTTCCAATTATGATAAAGAATCAAACAAAAATTAAAAATGGTTTAGTAGTTCTAGAGATTAGCATGAGCAAACACATTCTTTCACTTAATAAGATTAAATATTAAAAAGTGCTGATACTGTGTCACTCTTGTAGGTGAGAAGTTGAGAATATAGGATACATAAAATTATTTAATTTTTATCCGTATGCAATAAAAAAAATTATTCGGATCGAAGTTAGGTTATACATGTTTGAAAGGTCATAATTTTTACAATTTACATAAAATTTAATTTAAAAAAAATACTACGTTAAATTAATTTTTTTTTTTTACCGCAAAATGCAGTTTATAATGAACCTCCTGTTGAATTTTCAAAAATTAATATTTCATTAAACAATTTTATCCACAGAATACTTCCCAAATAAAAATAGCACACAAAACAAAATTTAAATTGCTTTTATGTTAAAATTCTTTTTTATACTGTACAAAATTTCTACCAGTAATCTTGCTCCGATTTTCTAGTGTAGTAACTTTTTTAAAAGAAAATTTTATCTACTTAGTATTTTAATAGTTGTTTATTGATATATATATATGGGGTTTTCATAATAATTAGGAAATATATAGGAATAATCAGATAAATATTTATGTTTTAAAAATTTCATGATTTTACATTTTTGTAACTTATGTTTTGTCTTAGACATTTTGCTTCAAGAAGAAAATTGCTTGGAATATCAAAAAATGATCTCTTAAAAGTATCAACTAGATAAAATTTCATTTCAGAAAAAGTGATACTATACTTGACACGTTGGAGCAAGATTTTTGGTAGAAATTTTGTACAAGTATGAAAAAGAAAACAATCCTCACTACGTTCCGATTTTAAAATCTTTCATAAGATGTTAGAAATGTGTACATTTTAATCATTTCGGTCTATCTTTTGTTTTAGTTATTGACAAATTATTATTTGTTACATAAATATTTTTATTTTTTCTTCTTTTCTCATTTGGGGTTGGCCTCTTCTCCCTAATTCTCTTATCATTATCGATTGCATTCAACCGTCTCTTTTTCAGTCTACCTTTTCCTCCTACGTCTATTTTCATTACAATTCTTACTGCTTCTGATTCTTATCTCCTCGTGACATGCCCCAACATCTCAGTCTATCTCCGTCACACTTAAACCATCTCTTATGTATTCATTACTTCTCTCATCATTGTACTTGTCCATTTAAGCATTCTCCCCTTTGCTACACTTATTCTCTTCTATTTTTCTGTCTACATCAATTTCTATTTACACTAATGTTCTAGTACATTTTAACCGATAGTGTAGAGTTGCTTGGGGGTCCGTAATGCAGTGGTGAGAGGTCAAAAGGTATATGAATGAAAAAAAGTTGAGAAACTCTGATCTATTGTATCTTTTTTATGATTATAGTTTTTGTAATGATTATGATTTTATTTAGGTTGCTGTACCTGATGTTGTCGAAGCAGCAAAAGATGCTGATATTTTAGTGTTTGTTGTTCCTCACCAATTTATACCAAAATTATGTTCTAATCTCGAAGGGTTAATAAAACCTACTGCTGTGGGACTGTCATTAATTAAAGTATTGCCGAATAAAAAAATGAAACTCAATTATTGTAACCTTTTAATATATATAATGTATATATTTTAAAGGGGTTTGATGTCGCAGAGGGTGGCGGTATAGATCTAATCTCAAAAATTATCAATAGAAAGTTAAACATTGATGTGTCTGTATTAATGGGTGCCAATTTGGCTAATGAAATTGCTGATGAAAAATTCAGCGAAACCACAATTGGTAAAGATAATTTTCTTTTAAATCATTATTTATTTATATTTAATTTTGTATTTATTTAGGATGTAGAGATCAAAACCTTGGAAAAATTCTTAAGGCTATAATTCAAACTGACTATTTCCGTGTTTCTGTTGTGGACGATGTTGAAGCTGTTGAAATTTGTGGAGCACTAAAAGTATGATCATTAAACAATTAAACTTAGATTTGTTCAAATGTATAAAAGGAAGTTTAAAATTTGTCAGGAAATAAATTTTAATACATACTAAATCCTATAATACTCTAATATGGGACAGCAAATTATAGTGAACTTATATTTTGTTTTTAATTTATATCGATAAAAAAAAATTATTCTTGCTTTCGAGTTTTTGATAATTAACGCCACAAGAAAGTTTTTTTTTTAATATAATATCACGTATTTATTATTTGTATTTAATCTTTATAGTAATTTTATTCAATTTTAATTACATTATTTTATAACATACAATATTTACTAAGAAATTTAATGAATTTTGATTAATAGAACATGCTACCAATTCATTTTTATATTAGTGTACCTTACCTTACTTGTTATTATTTTTTAATTTAGAATATTGTAGCTGTTGGAGCTGGTTTTGTTGATGGTTTAAAATTAGGTGACAATACTAAAGCAGCTATAATTCGGATTGGTCTTATGGAAATGATAAAATTTGTTGATACATTTTACTCTGGTGCTCGTCTTTCTACATTTTTTGAATCATGTGGTGTTGCTGATTTAATCACTACGTGTTACGGTGGTCGTAATAGAAAAGTGTCTGAAGCATATGTGACATCAGGAAAAGTAAATACAAATTTATAATTTATAATTAATTCTTTCTTACATTTTATTGTAAACCAATTTTGTAAATATTCTTTTAAAAATAAATATTACCTATTAAAGACAATTGAAGAACTTGAAAAAGAATTGTTAAATGGCCAAAAACTTCAAGGGCCAATCACAGCTGCTGAAGTAAATTTTATGCTCAAAAATAAACATATGGAAATTGAGTAAGATAATTTAAAAAATATATTTTGTTTTTTTAAATTAATTTATATCTAAATTGTTAAAATTATTATTTTTTTTTTTTTTAGTTTCCCTTTATTTACTACTGTTCATCAAATTTGTATTGGAGAATTAACGCCTAAAGATTTAATCGAGCAAATGAAATTAAATACCAACAAGTGAGTAATATATGTGTTTTTTTTTTATTTTCATAACCAAATTATTTATCATATGCAAAGCATATTTAAAAATTGAATTAAATTAAATTAGAGTAGTGTATTTATAATTTTACAGTTATTTTATTTATTGTTGTTTTTTTTTCCTTAGCTAATCATTATAAAAGATCGTTTTTAAAAAAAAAAATTATTTATTTACATAACTTATTTGTGTATATAATTAAAGCCCATTCTCACCAATGTAAACGTTGAGTTTATAAGATAATCAAGCAATCTTGGTCAGTTATCAGCCATAAACTCAGTTTAATAATATGCCTTCTTACATTGGTGAGAGAGACTTTAATTCTCTTATATCTAAAAATCTGTCAAATTATTTATTTATTTGCTTTTATTATTTTTTTTTTTTTTTTCAAAGAGGTAACAGTCTTTAAGACCAGCTCTCCAAGTATAATGTCCTCCATCTGTCTCTATCTTCTGCAGCTTCTTTCCATTGTATTCCAGCTTCTATTCTTCCTACATCTTTATTAACACAATCCTCCCATCTTAAGCGAGGTTTACCCAATGGTCTTTCCAATGGCTTTGGAAAAGGTCATGGAGTTTTTGATTATGTTGTTTCTTCCATTCCCCAGATTGACCATCTTTACACGGTCTGAAAATCCTTATCAGAATTTTCCTCAAACACTTTTAACCTTATTTGTTTTGCTTTCCTGAGAGGCCAAGTCTCTGAGCCATAAAGCACAACTGGGCATATCAACGTCATATATATCTGAATCTTAAGATTCTTTGAAATAGCTTTAGCGGTTAGTAGTTTTCCCAAACCATAATAGCATTTATTCCCTTTTTTGTCTTATTATCAATTTCTACTTTTATATCATTATTGTTAGTTAATATTGATCCTAAGTAATTAAAGTGGGAAACTTTTTTGAAACTGATTTTCTAATTTCACTATCTCATTCTGTCAGAAATTGACCACTCTTCTATTCACTATTATATATTCTGTTTTATCATCATTAATTTGAAGACCAACCTTTCCGGCAGTTTTTATAAGTTTATAACTCGATAATTTCACTTCCTCCAAACTATTCTCAATGATGGCAATATCATCTGCATAGGCCAAAAGACCAACAGTAGTCTACGCTTTTGATAAACTTTCAGTGATATTTGTTTTCCTAACATTCTCTTCTCAAACACTGGTGAAAGAGCATCTCCTTGTCTTAGTCCCATTGTTACCCTGATCAGTTTTGATGCTCTTTTTGCCATTTTCACTTTAATCTCAGTATATTCTAGAGTGGCTCTAATTAGTCCTACTAACTTCTTTGGGAAGCTGAATTCCTTCATTAAGTTCATAAGGCTGGGTCTATGGATTGAGTCATAGACCTTCTTAAAATCTATGAATAAGACATAGATTTTTATCGAATTCCCATGTCTTTTGAAAAATTTGCGTTATGTTGAAATTCTGTGGTCTACCTATTCTGTCGAAAGCCATATTGGTAGTTCCCCAGTAGTCTTGTGCAAGGTTTGATTCTAACAAGAATACAGTTGGCCAAATTCATGTTGGTACATTTAGCAATGCAATACCCCTATAATTTTTGCAGTCATTCAGATCTCCTTTCTTATATATTGAACAAATTAATTGGGCTTTTCTTTTGTATATAGTTTTTAATTGTTTTGCTTCATTAAATGTTAGTAGTAATTTATGATTTTATTTTTTTCTATCAACGAAAATAATACAATTTTAAGATTAGTTATTATTCTGAGGATGTAGTAATTATTTTTATTTGGGCTATATATTATAAATTAGTTAAAAACTAACTAATTGGAATTATACATATACTATACTATTATGTAGATATTAATCATCAATTATCTAAGTATATGTATTTTTTTTTTTTTACTTGTTTAAACTTCAAACGTTTCAATAATAATAATAAAAATATCTTAAATTTTATATTATTTTAAACTTAATAATATAACATTTGTTTTCTTGTCTTATCTCTAATGAAAGAATATACTAATACTTTAAAACTGATGTGTTTTTGCTAAGCATGTATATTAGTAGTTTGATTCTTACCACTAGTTATTTTTATTATTTTGTTAACGCACTGTTCTTAATCACACAATTGATGGATTATTTTATTCAATAATTTAATAAAATATATTAACTAAAATGGTTTTGTATAACATTATTTACAGGACTAACAAATTAAATCTGGAGAAGTGTAACCTGTAGGAATTTGATATATACATACTTATTAAATTCAAATATGAATGTAAGTTTTGTTTAATACAATTTTATTATTTTAGGAATACAGTTCAAGGTGATGGAAAATAAATTGGGTACTTCCAACAATGCTAGGTTGTCATACTGTTGTATACTTGTTCACCGTTTAGGTATTAAATAAATGCACACCAATGTCAGTTAGTCTTAGGACTTTCTTGTTACAGTTATATCATGTAGATAAATATGTATTTGTCATGTAATTAATAATGGTTCTATTTTGCACAACCTCAAATCAAAAATGCACCAAATTTTAATGTATGTTACCAATTTATATTTTAAGAAGGCAATCAAAATATACAAATATATATATAGGTTTTTTTTAGCTAAAATAAATAAGTGTGTATTATAGTAATGAAACAACAACCAACCCAAAGACCACTACTGTCACTAGTGCCAATAGTTCTTTATAATTGCTTGGATCCTCTGCATAGTGAGTTTTGATGGGCAATGTTTTTAAATTTTTCAATTCTAGTAATGGGATAATAATATTCAGTACATCTGGTATCATTAAAAAAAGATCCCGTATGATCTAAATACAAAAAAACATACTATCATGAGTAACATAAAACATAACATAAATATTTAATAAATCGCTGCTTAAAAACAAATTATACGAAACCTGTTTATATATTATAAATATTAATAATTTTCTTAAAAAATGTATAGTATTGTTTTAAACTATAAATGACTTTAAATATTTAAAGGTTTACTTAATATTCATAACTTTCAGAGCCTACATTTACACAGCTAGTGAAGGTATTGATTAGTCGTATATTACTTTTTTTTAATTATAACCATATAATTAAATATTTGTCAGTAAAAAATTGAATTTTGAGTAATAAGTATTAAAAATTTACTTTAAAAAGGGCAACTATATTTAAATTATTCAGCAGCAGTAAAATACTAATGTGGAAATTCAAACCTTGAATAACTGACTACCTTGTTCATTATGTAAAACGTGTATAAACTTAATAGTAATTATTTACATACAATTTACATATTCATCTAAAATTAATCAATCACATGCAATAAATGGTTGTAAAATATTTCCATAATAACAGTTGAAAAAATATAGGTATTAGGTAAAGCATATGTATGTAAACATAATATTAAATTGATAATTACTAGATACTTATTTATTTAGTTATTTTGAAAAACTTAACAAATTTCTAGTTTCATTAAAATTACACCAATGTTGAATGAGTTGTAAATTAATTTAAGTAAATATGTAATTTACAGTTAAACTGTATCATACACAAAAGGTTATATATTGTTTGATTGTAGTTACTAACAAAAGTTTATCGATATAATTTGTGCATATGGTACTTACTTGGTGAGCATAACCACTTCCTCCAATCACATTGCTAACAAACTGGTCAAAGCCGGCAGCCAACATATGTATTAGGCCCACAGAAATTATAGATAACAAATGTATTTTTCGTATTTCCACTTTGCGGTCACTTATCTTATACAGAATACTAGATGAATATAATTCAGTAAGAGTGAAAAATATTTGATGATTCCACTGGGAATAAAATTCATCGTTCCAATAGTTGACAAATGACCACCTAAAAATATTTTAGGTAGTGTACAAGTGTAACACTTGTAAAGCACTTCAATACTACTACTAACCATGAGTAATAGTGTGAAAACATAGATAAAATTAACAACAATGCCATTTTATAGCGTATTTCTTTAGCAATGCAAAGCAAGAGAATGTTTTTTATGCATTCGTAGAAAATGATAATGCATATTACAGTAAGTGTCCAAATGTTGAAAGTGTTATCCGTGGCGTTAAAATACATATGTTTGTACCTGGCAATGCCAGCTTCATAGGGACCTAAACAAGAGAAAAAATATAGTTCTATTATTTATTTTTATTTTTTCTATAATACTCAAATCACTATACCTTTGAACACTGTGTCCCAGCAAGAACAAGTACAGTGTTCCTTGTTCACATCTACAGTGAAATCGCTCCAGAATACCTGCAAGACAAGTATGTGGACTGTTGGTATGAGGATGGTAGATACAAGTGCTAGGAACTGTGATCTTTTCATCGCGAGGCCCGGCGCCATGTTCGTTCGGAGCCGAGACGATCTTTTGGTGGGTTTTTACATGCTGATTTCGAACTCGACACTTAACCCAGAAACGGTACAACAGTAGTTTTTGTAATGCACAACCACACAATAGTTACTACTGTGGCAGTATTGTACGTGTGTACGACAAAGAGAATTATCAGTTATCTCGATACAAAAATCAATGTCTTGTAAATAACACCTTAGTATGGGAGCGCATAAAACAATCGAAAATAAATCAGCTGAACAGTATTTAAGCCGATAATATTACAGCTATAAATATATGAAATATATTTATGATTATAGCATAGAGTAATTTACGATCTTAGAAGAACCTTAAAAAAACTTCTAAGATTGTACAATACTTAAAGAAAATGTACGAAATTTCACTTTTTTATTTTTTATCACACGTTATCGTTTTTGGAAGGTTTGACCTTATCTCTATTACAATCAGCTGTAATCCATAGAGTAATTCAGTGATAAGAAATAAAAAAGTGAAATTTCGTACATACATCTTTAAGTATTTTACAATCTGTAAAATAATATTTACAACAAACATAAGTGAAGGGTTTTAACAGTTTACGAGTATCGAGACAGTAGGCAGGAGTGAAAAGGCCAATTATTGTTGGTACTTCAGGGTGTGTTTTGGCGATAGCCAGTAAGTCCAGACATCACGTTCGCTTTAGACGCCTTTTGGGGTTTTTAGGGCCCAGGGATAGTGTGGGTGGAGAATTCAGTTATTAATGGATTCCTATGATTGTGGATATTGGAATATTACTCAAATGGAAGGTTTGGGCTGTGTTTGTAAGTGTTTGTATGCGAAGGTTTTTATGGAGAGTATCATTGGAGACATAGTATGGAACTTTTGTTATTTGCCGGAGATATTTGGATTGGAACATAAGTATTTTATTGTTATTAGAAGACTTGACAGCCCTCCAAAGTTGTAGGTTTGAAGAGCATTTTGTAAATAAGAAGTTTATTTTTGAGATTAAGATGTTTTAAAGTAAAAAGGTAGCGTAATTAACAGAAACAGTTGTTTATCTACACTTGAATAATTTAAATTCCTATAAATGGTTAAAATTAAAAATAATAGGTAATAAATTTAAACTTAATTAAATAATATGTATTTTTATCATAAAAAATATTTAAATGTCGTTTTATTATTTTTTGTTTGTTCGAAATTGTGTCAGAATTATAACTCAAAATTTGCTCATTATTTCAAATTTTTTCCATTTGAGTTCAAGATATCGGTGTTCAGATTTCCTAGTTTTTTAATTCAACATTTTCTGATTAATAACAATGATAAGAAATGTACAAGTTGATACTCATAGAGTTTTGGACGATTCGGTTATTTTATTTTCGACAAAATACAGTTGGTTATTTTATAGCCCCCCCCTTTAATATAATGATTCCATAGAATACCAGACCATAGTTTAAGATACACTAGTTAATCGACGAGTAGTAATAATTAAATTTTTTTGTAAAGCGTCGATTACATTAAGCGGGCTGCTAGTTGACAAATTCACTATCTGCTAGTAAACTCGCCTAGTGTAATCATATTCACTAGCTAACTAGCAGATTGTAAACTATCTGCGAGTAAAGTTGAAAGCTGGGCTACTTTATTCGCTACTCGCTGGCGTTTATGGTTTCAGTTTATGTTTACAAAATGTCGACGGAAATTGTACGTGCGGGTATTATTATTTTAACTCAGTTAAAAAAAAAAGAAAGGCGGAAAAGGCAAAGAAATATATGAGTTAATAATGAATTTGATTCCAGCATGCAATTGCTTCACATCCATTTCTCCAATTAACTGATTTTCATTAAGTTCATTATAAAGACGTTGAAAAATTTCAGTTTTTAATTTTGTGTTGCAATAGTCCTTTATTTGCCTTTTATATTCCATAACAAATGGTACAGATTCAGAAATTGTATAATATACTTGTGTTCCACTTCATTTTAAAGTAGTTATTTAACAATATTTACACAGAGTTTAATTTAACAGTAGTTACACAAAAATTTCGATTAATAAACATTATAGTATGATTGAAACGTACCTAATATTCACAACAGTAAACCACGTCGGGGTAGTAAACGTGATTTTTACCCGCTAGCTAGTTGGCTACTGAGCTTGTAGTACACGTTTTGCGTGTAGTTATTACAATCGCACTAGCCGCCTAGTCCGCTTCTAAAATAGCCAACCAGCAGCTTGTAAACTCGCTCAATGTAATTGACGCTTACCTATCACTGAGCAAACTGAATCGCCTAATGAGCAGCTACGAATCAACGATAGAACCTTAGAGTGGTAATAATTAATTAAGAATATTAGAATTTAGAATTCTTATTACTCTACGAGATCTATGCGATGGATGGCGCAATGTGTATTTTATGTATTAGATGTCAAATATTTGTAACAGACTTTTGAAATGAAATATAAGTACTGATGTTCTTGGTTCTTTAACTTATTGTATCACACTGCGTATAGGACAATACAGGTACATGCAAAATAAAAAAAAGAAGTTATCTAAACTAGTAAAAGCTTGAATGTTTAATTTAGAATTTTATAATATGGTATACTTTTAAATCGTTGAAAATATTTATTATTTGTTATTAAACTGCTTGTCGTTTGACTCATTACTCATTATAATATTATACTTATTATATTATGTAGGTACTTATCATTAGTATATTCGTTGCTCGTTACTGACTACTGTTCAGTGTTCACTGTTGTCTGCTACTCTGTATTAATGTAGTCAGTTATTATCTTTACATAATTGATAATATTATTATAGTTATTATTAACTGTTGTAGTAGGCATGATAAATTAAATTGTATTATTTAATTAATTAATTATTTGTATTAATTTAATTTATCATGGTAGTATATGTATAATTTTTTAGTTTGAAGCACCCATAATCAGTTCTGACCAATTGTTTTACATATCACCTGTGGTTCTGACCAGTGACCACGGACTACTCTCCAACAACGGATTGACGGAAATCAAAAATTTCAACAACAAAATTTAACAAAACTAATGTTCTATCTATTTAATCTATCTATCTATCATCTATCTATTAATATATGTTGCCAATTGAAAATCAAAATTAGAAAGTGGTTTTATCCCTGTAAATAAGAGCGAAAAAAAATAACACAAGTACTTATAAAATTATAGAGCTGCTTGTTAGTTCAAAGGTTCTAGAAAACAAATTCCGAAAAAGTTAATACTTTCCGAGATAATAATTGCATTCACTCAAATAGATCATCTTGTACTACTTTGAACGTGACTCAGCGGTTCAGGCAACGCGCCATTATATAACGTAGATAGTAGGTACCCGACTGGTATAACGTTGATCTTAACGACATCCAAGTACATTTGTAAAAATTTTGTTAATGTGCCATTTGTATTCTAATATACTTATTATAGTCCAGCGGTTTGGTTAGATTGGTTTTTAGGGTAAATTATAACTTTCGTTTTAGCCCTTCCGCCAGGGGGTTTACAGTAAGAATCTGGAATAGCCATGTGACCCTAGCCCAGTCACATGGGGTTCGCTTACCAATTTTGACCAGTTTGCAGTGTCCTTTTGGGCTTCTAGTGAAAGGTTCTCTCCGGCTAAGGGAGGCGTTCATGCGCTAACACGGGACTCGTATTGTAGGGCCTTTGCTTAAGTTAGCAGGAACGGTCATGACGCCCACAACGATTGAGGTAAAATGGGCGTCTCTGTTGTTATCCTATGGCTAGCGTTTTTTTTCCGGCTAAGGAGGTGTTAAAGACATCCGGGTCTCATTCCAGAATTCCGGAAAACCAGAACCTAGATCAAATAAGTGACCACGCCACGTCAAGGTTTACTGCGTAGCGACCGAAATAAAAATACCTGTAGGTCAATGAAAACGTATGTTAAAAGTATTGCACGATTTGGAAAAATATGAATTTAATATTTATAATGTATTTTCCAGTTTTAGTACTTTCCTAAAATTAATTTAGCTAGCGAAAATACATCAATATTGTTATTACGATTTGCGACTTCTAGATATTTTACAAAATTAGTTGGAGGTACCTACTTATTATGGTCTCCACTAATATGTTCATGATTTCCATGACTATTTAAACATTTCAAGAATTTAAAAATGATAAAAGAAATGATTATCTATAATACCTAGTTTACTATTGATGCTCTCTAAGACTGTTTAATTGAAAAAGCCACCTATTTGTTGTACAAAACCATCTCAAGTAGGTCACGGGGTAAAAATGTATTTTGCAAGGAAAATCGTTTATAAAAATTATTTTTTTATTGGGTACCAATCAAAACATTTAAAACAGTAAGTGTCCAAGACAGTTTTTTCTATTGTAAAAAGTGCAAAAAAATAAAATAAAAAATACTTTTGGACACGAATTCGATAGGGACATCTCTGGATAGATAATACATTACTAACAGGTACGCATTACCACTAAACTATAACAACCGATTTATGGAAAACGCAACAGGTATTGAATTATTTAAAATAACACATTGTATATTGATTTCAAAGTGTTATAACTCAAAAACTAATTTCAACTTCCCAATTTAGATTGCACCATCATTATCAACATAAGTACATTTGTTTGGTAAAAAAAATTTTACCCCTTCCTTCGTTCATAACTACTGTTAAATGACTGGCGGTAAAATATCTTACTCCGATAAATTGGACAGGGGTTGGTGAATGTCATGAGCCTATTGTCCATTGATTAAATATGTCTGTGCAGGCACCAGGCTAGTATCTGTAAAATAAAGTGTCATTAAATTACACTTTATTTTACTATACATTTTATAGTAGATTGTTAAAATGACTAAACCAGGACCGGATTTAAGTAATCATTAATTACTATAGTAGCGTAAACTCGTGCCTCCCCAAATGCAAAATTATTACTTATCTTAGTTATCAATTTACCATGTACCATTGTTATGGTAGATAAGTACCTATATAGAAAACTAATAAAACAGCTACCACAGCTATAGACAATTCTATAGTCTTTATTTTTTAATTATACTAAAATATTTTCATTATTTTGAGTGTCTACATCTTAGTTTATGGGTTAACATTTTCCATTTGTCTGATATTGGTTCCTGTAACATTTAATACTAATCGCATTCTATTGTGGGAAATTTGGATTTACTTTAAGTATTTTAAAAAATATCACAAGAAACTAAAAGCTGTTAGGTTGCAGTTGTTATTAAAAAGATGGTAAGGAAATTAGTAGAAATCTTGCCAAGACATTAGTACTTCTTAGTATTTTCTATTTAACAAAAGGCTCTGAATTTTAAGAAATATTAAATTATTAATTTTAGAATTTATTTTTTTATCTATGAAATATTTTTTTTGAAATAATAAAAATATAGTTTTTATTTATACAGGTACACAAATAACTTATTAGTTATTACTGTGTTATCTAACAAGAAGCTTGCATAACTATAATTTTAGTCGCTAAATATTCCTGTATCTAGAAATCTGAATATTCTGAAATAAATGGTAAGAATTAAGATTTAATAAGTTCTGTTAGTAAAAATCTTAATATATTTACATTTATATGCCATTTTATAAAGTAGTTTTCCAATATGGTATAAAGATTTGAGGAGCGCAACTGAAATGTAATCAAACTACAGCTACAACAAAATAAAATGATAGAGTTTATCTGGATAAAAAATATTAGGTGGGGTAAACGCTCAACGGCATTTAACTATATTGAATTAAAAATGTTGCCAATTAAATTAATTTAACAAAAAATGTGCGATATTATGGGTAGTAAAAAATATAAACATTTGGTTTTAAATTTCTGAACTATCTAGGTTCTATTTGTTTCAATTCCATAAACAATGAATCAAAAGAAACAATATATGTAACATTTAAATGTGCAAAAAATAATTGTAACTAATTGGCTATATATAAATATGGACAAACTTGAATTCGAAATTTTTAATTGGCAAAATTATTATATTTTAATAATAAATACTCTATATTGTATAGATAACTGTATGTTTTTCATAATTTAGAATTAAATTGTTCATATATGTTTATTAACTCGTTTAACATTATTTAACTTAGTTATAAATTTAATATAGGTATTGTTTTATTTATAATTATTATTTATGATGTTAAAAAAAATTAATTAATTATGCATGTGTACTATAACTCTATATGCCACCACAAGCTTAGTTTAAAGATGTAGATAATTTTAGTTATTACTTTATGAATATTTTAATAATAAAAACTTAAATAAAAAAAAATTATAATAAGATGGTTGATTTCATATTTTCATTACGCTTTTCAGTACTGATAATACTGAGTATAAATTATTTATACATTAGTAAACAGAATAATAAAATAAATTAATAATTTACAATTGAAATAAAATAATTATATAATTGATAAATTAAAAAAAAAGACTTATCTAATATATATGACTAGGATATTTTTTACCACAATTTGAACTATGGAAAGAAAAAACAACAAAAAAATTATATTATATAATCTGATTGTAATATAATATATATGAAATATGAATGCATATTGATATATTATTATAGTATTATAATATATAAAAAATAACTGTTATTGTAATCAATTAATTGTATTGAAAATAAACCATAATTTAATAATATATAATAAGATAAATTGATAATGTATCAATATGTATAAAATGTTGCTTAAGAGTACCCGCATGTCTTATTAATAAACATAAATTATGTTCAAAGTACAATTTATATTTTTAGTTGAAATATACATTTTAAAATAATTTAAAATATCAAAATAAACTCTACTAATGTGACTAAAAAAATATATATATTTAATGAATATTTTTTATTTATAAATTATTATGTATTGTATTCCAGTTTATTGGTTTGATTCATATATACAATGTAAAAAAGTCAATTAATTAATTAATACAAATATAAAACACTTATTGAACTAAAATAATAAATATATACTATGATTTATTTAGATCTAAATTTATATTGTTTGATTAATACATTTATAATTAAAACCCAGTTTTTATTTAAACTTTTAATCTTTTTCTTTGGATAAATCTTCAATCTAATATTAACAATTATTTTATTAATAACTTTAAATTGCATTCCAACTCTTCAAGAGAAATAAAACTAATTCTATTTAATATGTGACTAAATTTGATATAAGTACACAGTACATAGGTATAACATGTTTTATTTACAACCTTCCACATAATTTCCCGGGAATAAACCAGTAATGCCATCCATTACACCTTCCCACCAGCCATCATCATTTTTCTTTAATACATATATAACTGCATTCTCTTGAAAACTTAATTCATCATCTTTGTCAGCATAATAATCATAAATTGCAATCACTAAAGTAAATATAAATTGTTAAAATATACAAAAATGGAAAATTAATTTTATTAAAGAATAAAGCATTACCTTTTTCCAAGTAATTCTTTGGAACCCATCCTGGAAGATCTGGTTCCTGCGGAACGATTGGACCAGCAGGCACATGACCAAAATTATCTTCTGGAGGGGGTGGTAATGGAGGAGACGCTGATGCTTGTCTGACATGTTGCTGTTGAGGTGTAGTGACTGCAGATGAAGAATGATATTGTGATGAATTTTTTAATATACCGGGCAATTGAGAGGTATTTGCACGGTAATGGTCAGTTGATGCTGATTGGGAAATGTTTGAGCGATAATGATCTGTAGAGGGCTGTTGAGTTATATTTGAACGATAATGGTCAGTTGTTGATTGTTGAGTTAAATTTGAATGATAATGGTCTGTAGATGATTGCTGGGATGTATTTGAGCGATAATGGTCAGTAGATTGTTGGGTTATATTAGAACGATAATGGTCTGTGGACGATTGAGAGATATTTGAACGGTAATGGTCAGTGTTTGATGTAAATGGGGCTTGATGAAGATGATGGTCTAACAAGTCTGGTCCAACTCCCATTCTTGTGTTTAATGTGTGAGGAGATGGAGGAGCTGAAACAAATAAATTTATTGATTTTATTGTTATACAATGAATTAAGTTGAATAGTTATGACTCAATATTTAAACATAAAAATCACTTACGAGGCATAGAGTTTAAGGAAGCTGGTTGTTCAGATTGCTGCATTGGATGCACCATGCCAATGATTGGAGATGGTTGTACATTACTAGATGAAGAAGTATGATGTAAAGGAAGAGTATTATAACCCGGTCCTTTTTCACGTCTGACATGACCGAGGGGATAATTAGGAGCGTAATGACTGGGAACTTGGGGCGGAGCAACAGCAGGAGGGGTACGATATTCACGTGATCCTTTACTCAACGATCCAGTGCCTCGTATCACAGCAGGTGGAGTAGGCGGTTTGATTGTAGGAGCAGGGCCGACAGATGACATATTAGTTGATGCACTGGAACTCGTGGAAATTGGTTGACGGACCATACGTGGAGTGTTACGGACACCATGGCCAATATCATCGAGTGCTATAAGTATAATTTAATGTTAATGCATTTCAAGAAAATATGTTTTCAATAAAATGATAATAACACCAATAGTTAAATTTTTGGAATAGTCTACAGTGCAGCGGTTTTCAAACAGTGGTATGTGTACCACTGATGGTACGGGGTAGGCAACATAGGGGTACACAGAAGGTTAGGTTAGTTAATTAGTATGGTAACAGTACAAAAAATAAATAAATTAATAATTGTACAAGTGTTTTTTAGTGGATCTGATATTATGATATATATTATAATTATATTGAAATATACTATTGTATTGTACTGTTATCTTTTGAAATAAATGCAAAAACATTATGAATAGTTCAATTTTAATAGTAAGGTTAAATAATAATATGTGGTGCATAACAAATCTATAATTTATATAAGTGGTATGGGAAATTAAAAGTTTGAGAACTTCTGCTATACTATATTATAATAATGTATGTAAAAAAAAAAGTAATTAAGTTATAAATATTTTTAATTAATTTGTATTAATTTCAAAAAAAAAAAAAAAATAAGTACCTGTAAAATCAATTGGTTTTCTAACATATTTTATTGGTTTTTCTGGATTAGCAGGCGCAATTATTTTATATTGGCGATTGGTAGTCTTATTTGCAGTCAAAACACCAATTTCTCTTCTAGCAACTTTTTCTTTATGGATCATTACGTTCTAAAAAAAAAAAAAAAAAAATGTGAAATAATATTAATCAAGGATATCTAATAATAAGCAAAAATCATTACAAGTGTAAAGCAGATATTTATATACTTTAGCATTTTTTCACTAGTTGATCAAAAAAAAAAAGGGCAGTTTATAGCAAAATGTTTTTCATAAACCTAACGATTCAATATATATAAAAAAAATGAGCTGATACTGGGGACGGCTGAAAGCCACTGTTATAGGTAGGAAGTTGGTTAGGTGGTATATATAAAATTATTTATAATTGTAATCAAAAATAAACCATTACTAACGAAAAAACAATTTGGAGCGAAGTTTGGTTTAACGTGATTTAAAAGGCTGTAATATTTACAATTTTTGTCAAAATTTGGTATTAAATTAAAACTTTTATTAAAAAAAATACAACATTACAGTCATTTTTTTTTTTTTGTGACCACTCAATACGACATAAGAATCTACTCTTAAATTGATAAGTTTTATATAAACCAAGACCGACATTGGCTTGTTTGTACCATTATTTGGTTCTATATTATCTACACTCACCAATCAAATTTAAATTGAGTGGAAATAGAAATGTATTGGTTTTATAGTGATGGTTTTTTTTTTTTTTTTTTTATGCGAACACTTTCTACGAGAAAACATACTCCAATTATCAAGTATAGAACCTTTTTTGAAATTCTCATTAATATTAGAGATAATTAGGTCTTTTTGATTGAAAGATTAAAAATAAGGTTATCATTGACAACAGTTTTTATTTATTTTTGTTATTATTAAGTTTTTATTATTTAATAATCTTTTTTAAACAATCATTGTTGTAATCATTTTACCATTATATGACATATATATTGTTGGCAAAGCAACACTATCAACTGAACTTAGCTCAGAATCGATTTTTCGTTAGCAATGATTTATCATTGCTTACAGATATATATATTAAATTCCCATCTGTATCCTGCCTTACCCACTTCCCACCTACAACAGTGGCTGCACCCACGTGCGAAGTATGTCCATCCTTTTTATTAAATTAATTATAATATTATATATTATTTGGTTACCATGATAAATTAACAAAGTGTTCTGGACAAAAAACGGAGATATCAATATTTGTATTGTGCTAAATTAAACTTCGCTGTGTCTGTATATATGACCATGGTCAGTATCATAACATATGCCCCACTATGGTTGGTAAAATAAAGAACACCCCACCAGAAAAAAAGACTGATATACTATTCGCACGATGAGTGGGCCACTGTTGTAGATGAGAAGTTGGGAAGATAGGATGTAGGGTTGAATTTTATGTTTTAATGTATGCAAGAATTAATCATTGTTAACGAAAAACTATTCCAAGCGAAGTTCGGTTATAAAAGGTCTGTTTGGTGGTCGGTCTAACAATTTTATTCACAGAGTACCTATCAAATGAATATCATGTATAGAACTAACAAAATTATTATTGATATATAGGTACTTAATTTTAATAATTAATTGTTGAAATTAAATTGAAAAATATAAATTAGAAAATTGATAAGAAACTGCACCTTTATGCAATTTTTTTTTTCTTATATCAAAAATGCTCAACTTGTATATTTATATCATGATTCTAATTATATTGGTTTTACCCACTATAGTCAGGCACATATTATAATACCGACCATAGTTAGATGCATGGACTAAGATATACTAAGGTATATTTTTATCTGTAGTCAGGTGTTTCTAATCTTACCAACCATAATAATATTATGATAGGTACCATGGTTGGGTGTATAGGCACAGTGTTATAACTTATTACAAGAGATTTATAATAAAATTTGACAAATGAGGTAATAATAGATAATATGGATTGAACTACATGCTTATTAACTATGTATAACATATAAAATAGATTTACTTGAGCAATGTGGTTGATTTGACTTTCCATTTCAGATAATTGAACTGTTTGCAAATCCAATAATTGCAAAAAATTATAGGCCAGAGTGTTTATTTGATAAGCAACACTCGCCAAGGATTGAGTAGTATAGTTTTTAGTTTCTTCTAAAGCCAATCTTTTATTCTCAGCTTGAAAATAGTTTCCCTCGCAATATTCTGCCACACGTTCTAAATTTACATGGCTATCAGACAAACTATTGCGACCATCAGGTATATCTGCTTGTAATAGCTGTGCCAATTCAGCCATATTGTCAGAATCACTTCCTAACCCTGATTCTCGACTTGGGTCAGTAGTTCCTAGTACCAAATCAATTAAAAATTAATAATGCAATAGTATAGTTACGCGTTAACTTAGCCTTAAACTATATACTTGAAATAAAAGTGTTAAAAACTGCATAATCCTTTCAATCAACAATTAGTTGTAAAATATGTAATACATATATATTTGGTGGGGATTGGATAATATGACTCATGTATTTAGTTGAATAGTTTTTTTTCCATTTTCAAAAATAAGTAACATTAAACATGAGTACAAGTTCTTAAAATACAAAATGTTTAAATACTAAAAATAAACTAATTACAAATTATCTATATTATAGGAAATTAAGTAAAATGTAATAAATATTAAGAGTAAGCAAATTGTTTTAATACTGAATATAATTTAAGTTATAAATAACAAACCTATTTTTAAATATTTGTATTAATTTACTTAATATTACAGATTGATTGATGCATAAGTTAGTAGTTTTGAAGATATCACAATGATCATATTGGGAACCCTGTATAGTGTCAATAATTTTCTTTGAGCAAACTCCTAAGAACATTGCTACAATATATAAGACTATAATTCATCTGGATATCATCAACTCTTGATATGACTGAACTAAAGATGACATTTTTTTTTAACAGTAACCATTTTACTACATTATCCCAAAGTATATAATAGAATGCACATTAACTAATAAATGGAAAGAGTAAGAAATACGTAATAAAGCTCATTATTAAAGTACCTTGAATACTTTAGATACATAGTACCTATCTAAACAATTTTCAATATATTCATTTGCAATAGTTATGTATCAAAAACCGAGCAAAAGCTACAAAAAAGTGAAATCTTAATAGTTAGGTAAGCTGTTAAGTTTCTCTGGAATTTTGTATTGTGTATACTACTTACTCAATTTGAAAAATTATTATTATAACAAATATACTTAGAATTAACAATTTAATAATTTTGATTAAGTATGTAAAGAAAATATTTTGATAATGGAAGTTTGGATTTAAAGATTAAATTTGTATTATACAATGTATAGAATTGAAAAAAATAACAGTTTTTATAAATTATACGGGTATGGGTAGATAAATACGAAAGCAAAATTATAATTTGTATTTTTCACAATACTTAAACTTGTGTCGATTCAAACTACACTGATATATGTTTAACCTGTATTCGTAAACGTCGTCCACATAGCCATATTTGAATTGCATTCACTTGTTTAAATTGATCAATTACGAATAGTTAATGTTTTAAATCGTTTTTGTTAAATTTAATATAATAAAAATATTATTATTAATTAATAAAAGTTAAAACCACTATACTTGTAAAAAATAAATTTAATAAATATAAGAAATGAAGGCTATAAAAAAAAAAAAACTTTTTAGTGGGTAGGGCTGTACTTGATAAGACTAGTAGTTTGTTATCATTAACTAATTTACAGTGACGGACTGACGCCATTTTATTTTTAAAACGCCATCAGGTGCTGTTACTATCGAAGTTAAAAAGAGACTTTATTAGTTTTCACTACTATTAAACTGTTAAACTTGTTTATTTTATCATGGTTAAGGTTTTTACCAAACTCGGTACTACCAAAATATATAAAAACCATAGATAATCTATAATAATATCAAGGTCTTAGATATCTATGATAATAATAAAAACGCACACTTTTGTTCTTGTAATTTCATTGGTCAAATTAATTTTTGCAAAATACGTAAAAATTGTTCATAATTATCGTTTAACTCGATTTACTTGGATATAAAATCTAATCATAGACAGAAGATAGAACATCAATATAATTGATTCTTAAAGTTATATAATTTTTTGATCATGAACGTATAAGCCTCATACAAATTTTAAAAATAGCGGCAATTTAATTTAAAAATGCGTAATATATTACTTATTTTCATATCAATAATTGATAAGAAAATTAAAAATACAAATTGAAGAAAAATATTAGTGCTCTAGCTCAATTTAATGTACTGAAATTATCTATTCTTCCGTCTAAATAATTTGAATATGTTTCTTTTATAGTTTGAAAATTAAAGGTTCAATTAGTTAATTTATTTTTGTCACTATATTACCCATTGTGTTCCAAAGTTAGAACAAATATATTGTAATATTAATTAGGTACATATAAAATCGTTTTAACATTTTATATTATAAGTTTTGTTATAAGTAGTCTAATGAGTTATTTACCTAATGTTAATGATTCAAAAACGTCTAACATATTTTATCCTAACGAGTTTTTCATTTATACTGGGATGTACTTTGACGCTGTTCTTTTTACATACAACTACATTAAAGCCAATTGCTTCACCAATTGATGTTTCCAAAATTAAGTTGCTTGTACTTATCCTGTCAGCTGTAAAAAATCAAATTCGCCGTGATGCCATACGTGAAACTTGGGCTCAAGCATATGGAGATGTCAAAATACTTTTCGTCTTGTCAAAGGATCAGTATTTAAATGCAGAAAAATTAATACATAGTGACATATTGGAGGTTAACATACCAGATGAATACCGATTACTTAGTCATAAATTATTAGAATCATTCAACAGCGTGCGTAATATCGACTTTGACTATTTATTAAAATGTGATGATGATACCTTTGTTGATGTTACAAAAGTAATCAACGAATTAGAAACTGCGCCCAAGAATAAATTCTATTGGGGTTATTTTGATGGCAATGCTCATATTAAAAGAGCGGGTAAATGGAAAGAAACAGAATGGATATTATGTGATAAATATTTGCCATATGCTTTGGGAGGTGGCTATGTTTTATCCAAAGATCTCATTATATATATGGTGAACAATAAAGACTACCTAAGGTATGTTTCAACTAATTAATTATTAAGTAAATTGAATTTTATGTAAAATAAAAATATTTAACAATGTGGATTTTTTACTGTTTTTTAGTTTTTTTATTAGTGAAGATGTTTCTGTTGGTGTTTGGTTAGCACCTTTAAATATTACAAGAAAACATGATCGGCGGTTTGACACAGAATTTCGTAGTCGTGGATGCTGCAATGATTATTTGGTAACACATAAGCGAAGTCCTCAGGTAATGAAACTATACTGGTCACATATTATTGAGACTGGGAAAATGTGTAATGAAGAATACAAAGATATCAGTTCGTACGAGTACAACTGGACTGTAATGCCATCAAAATGTTGTGTGAAAAATGCCTTATTATGTCCATAAGACTGGCAGTAATATTAATATTTATTTGACTTGAAAATCAGTATGTTATTGTTTAAAATAAATAAAACAAATAGGTAATAAAAAATATTTGTTCAGTATAATCAAAATATTTTATATATTTCATTTCATACAAATTTAAATTTACAATTTAATCTTACTTTAGCCTAACCTAACAATTTAAGAAAATTGATTTATGATATACTGTATAATTGTAGTTATATACATTTAAAATACACGGTTTTATTATTTTTAATATTGTTATTTTTTCTTCCTATCTGTAATACATTTTGGACAAAACCATTTTCCTTTGGGTTTTGTTATTAATTTAACACATGCAAAATGGAACCATTCAATGGGACACTAAAACAAAAAAATATAAATTACATTTTAATGAATATATAATATTTACATTTAAAAAGCCATAGAATAATCAATAAATTATTAATAAAACCAAAATGCTTACATCAGGATTATCACATCCTATCATTTCTCCATATGAAACTTGATTACATAAACAATATGTTGGTTCATTTGGATCAACAGGCATGTCTAATACTTCAGCAGAGTGAGCAACGCCTGCACCAACTAATGCACCTGTAAGTGAACTAGTCTCTGCAGCAACACTGGCTACATTATTAGTGGGGTTTGTTGGATTGGTGACAACATTCACGGAAGGAGTTTTGCTAGGTATAGCACTGGTCGTTTTTACACCTACTGGAAAATTGTTTAAATGTAGAACTGTCAATTCAAGAATAATGAGTATATTTGCTACAAACCTTTTTTGATTATTTTTTTTTTGGATGGTGGTTTGATAACAGTTTCTTCTTCACTTGATACACTTTTTTTTCTAGGTTCTTTATCTTTCGTCTTTCTGCGTCCTCCTTTAAGTAATATGTAAATAATAATAGTTAAAATAACATTAAATAAGTAAATATAGGTAGGTATACATAACAAATAATACAATATAGCATAATATTACGTTTTTGTCCATCATCACTTCTTGTAGCACTAATAGCTTTATCTTGGATTTCCATTTCAAATCGTGCTAAATCTGAATCTAATTTTCTAATATGTTTATCCACCTGAAAAAGTTTATCGGAATAGAAAAAGTTATAAACGTAAATTAAAATTAACTAACCAATTCATAAGTTTGTATTGCTAATTGAACTTTATCATCCCCATATTCCTTAGCTTTGTCAAACTGCCGTTGTATGCTAGTCATAGTTTCATTTTTTTTGTCTACAGAGTATCCTTTCACATTGGACATATAATCGTCAGCCAATTTGTCAATATTACGCATCAGTTCTTGGGCTCTTGAATCGAGATCTCGCATTAATGTAAAGTTTCGTTGCAATTCAACAGGAAGATTCTCTAAACCTACAGTAACAATTAAAGGGGTTTGGTTAATTTTTCTATAATATAAAAATATATATATATAATACAAATAAGAATACTCACTATCTAAATAATGTTCTAAGTACAGCGCCGAGGTCATTGTTGTACAATGTATCAGAAATTGTATAATAAAAATATAATTATTACAAATTGTACAAAAACAATAAGTTTTTAAAAATTTTATCAGGTTTTTAAAAATGAAATTCGCTTCATTAACTTCTGTTGATATCACAAGATTATAGGATATGCATATTATATATAAATTCAGTGTCGGCAACTTATTGGCTAGTCAATTTTTTATAATGTATTTGAAAACGATAAGAAAATAAAATAGACCACGAATGGCTGTAACTTATTCTATATTTTGTGCTTCTGTTTGGTTGATATAGATAATAAATAATAGTAAAAACCAGTCGGCACGGTCTTAGATTTTATTAAACTGTAAAACCATTGATTGTGCGATATGTTTATAGTACCAGATTATTGGAATCCGTGCTCTTATTGACCTTAGAGAATAGTGATGCACACGTTTCGCTATCTAGCGGATTAATGTTTATAATTAATATTTATTAAGCAAGGAACTCACTGTACAGCTATAACATTGTAAAACCAATACATTCATCTACCGCCTAAATCTAAAACATACAAAAATTGCGTCAAAAGTTATAAACTTATAAAAACAAAAGTACCCATATTGTGAAACGTTCATACTTCCATGTGAGAAACAAAGATTTTATTTTATCGTGTATTATAAAACACCTACCTATTATATAAATATGAGGATGCGTCAATGGACTAGGCAAACAAACCAGGAAAAACTAAAAGAAAACGCAAAAAATAAGAAACTATCTACATTTTGTAAATCATAATAAAATCGTAGTAACTATAAATAAATAATATTACACTTAGCTGTACTATTCAAAATGTAAATCATTGTGTTCATTATTTAAAATGTTTACTTATAAAATAAAAACTCAAAAGTTGTTTGTTTATACTTTGCTATTTTTATTATACGTCCTATAATCGTGCCAAAACTTTAATTTAAAAATAAAATAAAATAATAACCCATAAATAATATAAATAAATTTTGTAATTATTTATCATGATTTATGAGATATCATTGATATTAAACTTTACGATCGCCATACGTTGTTGATAGATAGCAATACTAATATATTAGAGTTCCCTAACCAGTAAATAAAAACACGGGTGATTCTCATCGAGTTGCATAGAATTTGTAGGGCTGGTAAAAACTGTTTTCCTTGATTAGACTGTTATGGGGTTTTCTATTTTAAAAATAAATAGATTTTCTGTCTATTTAAAACAGTTTTACCCGTAGTAACAAAAATGTTATTTTAACGAAAAAGTGAGTTATCTTGTTTTTGCTTAGCACGGCAGAGTAGGAATATAGAAAATATAATATATTTTAAATATTTTTTTAAATAAATAGAAACATGTTAAAGATTAGGATACATATACATATGGCGAGTATTGAGCAAATATAGTTCAAGGCTCTATGAAAGCTCTATATAAAAAAAATCTTTGAAGATGAATGTTAATAAGTGGCTAATTTAATAAAATATACTAATTACTTAATTAATGTACTTATACAACTATAATACATCCATCTGTGTAAATGTGTAATAATTTAATAGACAATAGGTAATACAAAATTTAACATTGTGGATTACTATTATATTTATAATTAAAATACTACCTGTAGAATGTCAAGTGATATTGCAAAAAAATTAATAGGGCTTGATTTTCGGTATGTTGGTAGAAATCGTACAACTTATTGTATACAATTACAATTCCACCTTGTACTATTAGGGATCATTAAATATACTCCAATGTAATCATTTATTATATCAGCAATTTGTGTGGATCTACTTTGCATATTATAAAGTGCTTGCAATATTCTGAATGAAGCTCTAATTTGTTTTTTGAGCAACTTCAGCATCCTGCATAAAACATAAAAAAGACGGACATAAGTATTTCGCACGTTGGGTGGGTCGCTGTTGTAGGTGAAAAGTTGGGGAAGTAGAAGGGAAATTGAATGTCCACATGAACGCAACGATTTAATCATTGGTAATGAGAATACATTCTGAGGGGAGTTTGGTTAATAGTGTTACTTTGTAAATAATATATATGTCATTTTATGGTAAAATAATTACATAATATGTATTATATATTTTCTTTAATATGTTTTATATGTTCTATATTATGTTTAATATTGTACAGAGTTTTTCGTTTTTCATATTTTCAGGAAACTCTTGAGAAAATCGAAAAATGACCTCCCGAAAGTACCTTCCCATCCAATCAGATTTTCTTTTAGAAAAAGTGATATCATTGGAAATCGGAGCAAAATTTCTGGTAGAAAAGTTGCCTAAAATATTTTGTATATTTTCCCGTTTTTATTCGGTTTTTCACATTTGATGAGAAAATCGAAAAATCAACTCCTTAAAGTACCATCTCAAGAAAATTTCCTTTTACAAACTGGTCTAAATCGTACATATATATCGGATCACATGAAAAAAAAAATAAACATCTTTGTAAAATCAATACTTTTTTCGCTAAAAACACTAATGTAGGTAATTACGCATACACGACTATACAAAACTAAATACACGAACGCGCGCAACAGTTCGAACACTGGACACCGAACGTCTGAACTAGTTGTTCATTAATAGCTACTTAAATTTAATTAATTAGATAAGATTTATAAATTATGCCGAATTATATTGAAGATAATGACGTGAAAACACAATAACACAACGGCCTGCGCTATTTTAATACGGTACGGTGATACGTAGAAGTCCATGTTACGCCTTATCAAACCTGGGTTTTCCGAGCGACGGGTACTATCACCGCAGTCTGAAAATAAATCATATTACCACTGGAACGTTTATACCTAAACAGTGATCTATTTATCGTGAAACACTCGTTATCTGGGAAAGTATTAACTTTTTCCGGAATTTGTTTTCTAGAATATTCAAGAAACAAAAGGTTAGAGGAGAGTAGTGGTGCATTATTAATACGCCACGTGCAGTACCGCTAAATAAATGATACTCCATTACTCTCTTCCAACCTAAATCTAAAAGTACATCTCGTCAACGCTTCACAGAAATCAACAATTTTAACGCTGACATTTATTTTAACTAATACTTCATTTATTTATTGACTTTTTAATATAGTTTACCAATTGAAAATTAAAAGTAGGCAGGGGTTTTACTCCCCAAAAAAGGGTGATGAAAAATAACATAAATATATAATTGTAGTGCAGCATGTTTTTTAAATGTTCTAAAAAACAAATTTCGGAAAAAGTTAATACTTTCCGAGATAATGAGTGTATTCATTTAAATATATTACCTGGTATCAAACTATTAGAATTAGACTCAAAAAATGTTCGATTTTAAAATGAAGACTCCTGCTTACAATTCCCATTGAAAATGAACAGAAATCAGACAGTGTGTAATATCCTCAATTAAAAATATACCTAGTAGATATCTTTAATCGTGGATACTACTAGTAGTGATATCTATATTCTATATCCATGGTATAAACTACAAACTACTGTAAATACCTAATAACTCATTTTCGTGTTCAATAATATTCCTTATAATTTCCAACTCCATTTCTACTTCCAACTGCCAATGGAATTAATTAAATTGGATTTAAAGCTGTAATCTGTATAATGTATATAACAAAACTATTTTACAATTTAGGCCCAAGTGGTTATCATAATTTTCTTAGAAATTTTATTTAGTGGGCAAACCAGTTAATGGAGTAACAAGATCTTGAATACTGCTGTACCACAAAGAAAATGTATTCTATACAAAAAAACATGTAATATTATGTCTATTAAGTATTATATTATAATGACATGAGTAAAAATTACAGAAAGTTTGAAATTCAACACAATTTTTGATAATTATTTATTCACATTTTACCTACATTATATTAAACTCAGGTTGTTAGATTGCAGCATAAAATAACAAAAAAAATTTAAAAAACTACAATATAAATGATAGGTGGGTATCTGGGTACATATAAAATTTCGTGTTTAGAATCTTAACTTTTTATTATAAATCAGATAAGGACCAAAATTTGGTTTTGGGGACAAATAATTCAAGTTGATTTCACTTAAAATATAACAACTAATATTTTAAAATTGATGATTTCTTTATTACAATAAATTAAAATACAAAAAAAATATGTTGTCACTTTGTGTTGTAGGTACCTTATTTTATAAAATTAAAAAATGTTACACATGCGACCAACATTCCATTAATAAATATGTATAATTATTAATCATAAAGTTATTTATTTTATTAACTAAAATATTTAAACAGCATATTATGTATGTAAAATGTCAATAATGAACAAATATAGTATTTCAATTTCTTCTACGTTTAATTTGAATCACGGAATTTTCAGCATACCTAATACACTAAAATTTATTAATACAAAAAAAACCAAATCCAAATATTGTAGTATTTAATATGTAACAGAATTTCCCTCTTAATGTAATTTTAAGAAATATATATAGGTAATTATATTTATTCATTTGATAAATAAATATTATGTAATGGGCCTGAATTATATAAAAAAATCCATTTATGAGTCTTCATACATTGGCGTGTTATCGCCCATAGAAGATTCAATCATTGATCTAGGGCTATTGATAGTATGGGGAGTTGAACGGCCAGATCTTGGAGTCCATCTTTCTCCAGGTGATGTATACCTCATATCTGGACCATTTTCATCATTGCGTCCCGTACGTGACGATGATGAATATGCACTTGGTGAATCTTGACTAGGATCCATTGTAAAAGGGTCATACGGTGTGCCAACATTAGATGGAGGACCTCGTGGTGATTTTGTTGAATGATGAGACAAAGTTGTATAACCACTTTTATAGTTCTTTGATGGTGCTGGCGAGTGGTATCCGTATGATGAGGCACTTGGGGTAGGTGATGGAGCATCACTGCGTGGGCTGCTCGATTCTCTTTCTCTGCTTGTATTATAACGATGATTGTTATACCTATATATTTAATACATTAATTAATTACATTATAACCATGAAAATTCATTGGTTATAGCAGAAAAAATAAATATTAATCAATATTTGTTTTAATGATTACAAAATGAAATCGTTAATGAATGAGATTAACAATACACAAATAAATGTAGAATAAGTATTTAATCTGATCACATGAAAATGTATTCACACAGTCATTGTTTATGACTGAACTAATTTTACAATTATTCTACCTGTTTCGAGGTGTGTGTCGTCCCCCATCAGACATAGGAGTAGAGTATCCTCCATCACCTCGTTGTTTAGCTTTAGCCCATTCTTCAGCCATTCGTCGCCAATCATTTGGATCTGCTGATACAGGTGGTTTAGAGGTGGATGGCCTTGGACTGCTTTGAACAACCGGTGTGAGAGAGCTAGGATGAAGAAATACACCATCATGAACCGGTGTTGGAGCAGCACCATAACGAGGAGTAGTATAATTGCCAATATAAGGAGTTTGCCCTGATGGCGTATATGGCTAAAAAAGTGTAAAAATGAATTGTTAATATACAATAAATATATATTTGTTGGATTTAAAAATTTACAGTATTGTATGCAGATGTCTGCATACTATTATAAGCTGCATGTGGAGATTGAGAGTATTGAGGCGTAGAATTTGAGTGGCTACTATGACTTCGATTCATCGGTGAAGGTTCTAAAATATTTATCAAAAATAAAATAAATACATTCACTATATTTACAGACATTGAATCACTTACCTAAATGTGGAGAAGGTCCGTAACTTTGTCCAGCAGATCGAGATGCTACCGGGGTGACATGAGGTGTAGCATCTCGGAAATGCTCTTTATACCATCGGAATAGAGAACCAATAGAATCAAAATTTTGACTACGGAAACGATAGCCTTCTGGTGTAACAGATATATATTCATGTTTTGATCTACGAGTAGGTAAACACGAGAGAAGAAACTTGCCTGCATATTTCTGTAAAAATAATATAAAACAAGAAATTCAGAAAACAGTTGATTTACATTACAACAAACCTGTGACACTGATACAATATAATGAATTTTTGTTGGATTATTCGCTTTTTCTTCATGAAGTATTTGCTCAGCTTTATCAATTTTACCACCCTCTGTATCTCGGTAATATCTGAAACGTAGTAATTCCCTAGCGTTACCAGCCATTGGAGTAATATGGCGTGCAATAATTTCATCTAGGTCTTCAAATTCTTCGGTTCCAATCCAAAGTGAACGTCCTAGTGAAAAAGCATTGACTTTGCCTTTTTCTTGAATATCAATATGTTGGTAAACATTATCAGCTACTTTCCAAGTAACAGTCAAATGGTCAGCACCTTTACTAGATGGTCTTATAATAGCATCTCCTTGGTCAGAGTTATTTAATAATTTTACAGCTTCAGCAAATGATACATTATGGAAACACGGATGAACAATTACGCGTTTAATATATGTCTGAGAATTTTTCATTTTGTTCTTGTCCAATTCAATTTTACGCTGTTGCTTTTCAGTATCGTGATCATAATAAGGATCCTTTTGAGGTCGCCACTGTTGTTCTTCATCTTTTAAATCAGAGCTTCTAGATGTAGCTTCAAATGAGAATCTATCTGGTTCAATTTTAATAATTCGACAATGTATAGCTTGATTAAAACGAACACGATCTTCTGGATTAGCTACATGTGTATTTGATAAATTTTTCATCGCTATAAAACCACTAATGCCATTATCTAATCTTATACGAATTCCAGATGCTTGTCCTGGACAACCACCAGCATCAAAATGGTTCCACACCTAAAATGTTTTAAACCATAAATAAATATTAAAAATAAAAATTTATAAAATGTCATGTAAATGTCAACATACATCAGATAATTCAAGGAAGTCATTTTTAAAACAAAATGGGCATTGCCATAAACCAGTTTCATCATTTCTCACTGGATTAGCTTTGTCTAATTGATCATTTTGTGGTTTTCTTCGAGCAATTCCAGTAACAGTAGCTAAAATCATTTTTCCAACAAAAAATGTTTCCTGAGTTTCTTTAGTGAGGAGTTCAAAAATTTGTGCGGGATTCGGAGGTTTATATGCCACTCTAATATCTTTATACCGGTGATTTAACTCTTGACGTATATCATATAAAGTAATACTTTTATTACCAAAACCCTAAAATATATAAAACAAAAATGAAAACTTATTATGCTAAAACAAAAAATAAATAAAAATCTACCTGTCTTTCCAATTCTTCTGCAAATGCATCCAAATCTAAATCTTTAAGCCTTTCTGGTGCATCTAGAATTTCTTCTAACGCTCCAGCTGGATTTGCTTCTTCATCATCATACTCGAGAGCGTCTACTGCCATTTTTCTGGCCCATTCATATGTTTCAGGATGAACTCTAGACCCATCTAAAACTTCTACGTATGCTTCAGTACTGTCACCCAAAGAATTTGTATCTATTTTAATAAATCCAGCGCAGTTAATAAAAATCTTAGGACCCATATGACATGAAGTAACCAGTTGGGTTCGGTTTTCTAATCGTTGATTAGTTTGTTTCATTAATTTGATTAGTGCAGTGGCTTTGCGAGGACCCAAACCACAGACAAATTGTAATAAATTAGGCGCATAGATTCGTTGAACAACATCATTTATGTCAACCCCAACTTCATTAGTGCGATTAATAAATTCTTGATATAATCCTTCAAGTAATTCTTCTTGATTCAAAACTTCCTAAAAATGTAATACATTTAAACCATATTTACAGTTTACAAGTATCACTTGATCTTATCTATATTAAGATACCCAGTTTGAAAATTTAATACTACTAAAGTGGTTCTAATAAATAGTTAGTTTTATTATATAATATTCTGTCGTTTATTAATCATTTTTACTTATTACATTGATGAAAACCCACATGTAATAATATATTGTATATAATTTACCAGCTTATGCATAAAAGTTTCTTTTTGTAAAATATTTTTTAGTTGTTTTAAAAGATATTTATGCTTCATTGAAAAAATAGAAATAAATTCTTAATTAAAGAAGTCAAATGTAACATCTACGAGTATAAATGTTATCCCACTAGTTGTATTTTCCTTATCCAATTTTTATTATAGAAGTATTTTATTTAAACTAATAACCAACTGGGTACTATATTGAACTGTAGGGGTTGCCAAATGTTTTATGGCGGCCCACAGACAAGGAAAGAAAAAAGTTAAACTCGATAGTATATAAATACTGTAATGGCCATCCGCACAGCAACATACACATGATCTCGCCACCGCCAAGACAACCATATAAGCGATTGGTACGGTAGAATGCAGAATAGTTAACTGGTTGCGAAACATGTCGTATATCGCTTATAATATTATTTTTAAACTTTGAATTAGGTCAGTCGATAACATATTGACAACGGTCAGCGGTCAGTTTGTCAATTTCCAGTGATATAGTTATTGTTGTGTTAACTGTTTACTTTATTTCTTTGATGACTAATAATATAAATAAGAAAGAAGAAAAGTTGATGGTAAAAATAAGACAGTTTTTGCCTGAGTGGATGGACTTATATTGTATTATTTCACTAAGCTAAACAAGAGACTTCTGAAAATTGTCTATCTTAAATGTTATTATGAGACTATAGATAAATTATTTTTCAGTATGTAAATTAATAATTGATAATCTTCAAATGAAATATAATTTGACAATCCAAGTTTTAAGTCACGCAATGACTGAACAAAAGAAATGTGCTCAGGCATCTTTGAATATTTTGTGGACACTTGCACAAACATGTGAAGCAATTCACAAATGCTGAAATTGTTAAAAAATGCATGTTAAACAATTTCAATGTACAGTTTGAAAATAAAAAGGAGATCACTGAAACTTTTCATCGTATTCTGATATCAATATCTAATAACATAAGAAATATAATGAAATAAGGACCAAAGAAAATTACTAACTGTTGAAACAAGACCTATAGCTGATTATTATTTTTTAGCTTTGGATGAATCAGGTGGCATCACAGATACAGCTCAGCTTCAATTTATGCGTGGTATCTGAACAATTCCAGGGTAAAATTCTACATTGTTAGAGATTACCTGAGGTAATCATTACAGGTACATATCATGATATATACAATGGATTTGGAAAAAAAAAAAATATCTATGTTACAATCGACGCCGACATGCCAACAATGGTTAACATTCATCAAGGTAATTTAGGAAATATATTTCTTTACATTCAACACAACAATACTTTGAATTTGAAACGTTAAGAAGACTAGAAGTTTATTTGTCGCTTAAAGTTAGTTATCAACTGTTTTTATAAATAAATGGAATTATTTAAAAAAAATATTAGTAACAAAACAAACCATGATATTTTTCAAACTTAAAAAAAGTTCGCGATGAAAAAAATGAGTTTGACACAAGTAATTTAACAAAAATTTAACAGACAAATTGTATATTTCAAAAAGTTCAACTATTTAAAAGTTACTATGCAGGCTAATGGTTTAACGAAGAAGTGTTTTCAAACAAAAAAAAAAGAGCGGTCATTGTTGTAGATGAGAAGTTAGGAAGGTAGTAGGATATATAAGGTTATTTCATTTATCATTTATATCTGTAAGCAAAGATAAACCATTGCTTGACAAAAGAAGATTCCGAACACAGTTCATGTTACACAATTTGAAGTACTGTTCGAACCAGCGTTTCAAAAAAAAATTGTTTGCATTTTTTTTCCCCATTTACCTAAACAAGGAAAAACAAATGCATTTTGGATGTACTTACGAGACCCAAGCTATTGATCGCTCGGTCTATTTTAATCGCAAAATACTTTTCGATTTATTGTTCAAACTTTTTTCTTCAATTATCAAGTGTACCAAAAGAAAATTTCATCTCCATGGTAACTTAGGGGGGTCATTTTTTGATTTTCTCAAGAGTTTTCCCAGTAAATGTAAAAAACTATGAAAATTGGTATAATATTAAACAAATATTAAAGAAAATATATAATGCCTACTTAATTACTTTACCATAATATGACATATATATTGTTGACAAAACATCACTATCAACTGAACCGTGTTCAGAATTGTTTCTTTGTGAATAATGGTTTATCATTGCTTGCAGACGTTTTTTTTTCTATCTGTACTATAATTTTGATTTTATTTTAGTTTCTGATTGTTCTGAATATAGCAAAGAAGCTTAGGTCTTACAATCATGTTTATTTGTATTATTACAATTATTATTGTTTTTTTTTTTGTGACTACTTTCTACCAAAGAGCATACTCTTATTATCAAGTATAGAATCTTTCTGAAAGGAAATTTTCTCTGGGTGTTACTACTTTAGAGAGGTAATTTTTTGAAATTCTTATTAATATTCAAAATAATGAGGAAAAACCATTTGTATTTATCTTATGTTATTATTTTACCTTAATATGACATAATACCATATATTTTATTGTTGACAGAGCAACATTTTTAACTGAATTCAGCTCAGAATCATATTTTTGTTAGCAATGGTTTTTCATTGCTTACAGATATATATTAAATTTCCGTTTGTAGCCTCCCTTCCCATTTTCCCACCTATAACAGCGACTGCACCTACATGCGAACTATGTCTCTCTTTTTTTTATTCATCTGTGAACAAACGTTTCTAATAGAAATAATATTTGATTATGATTTCATTACTTTTAATTTTATAATGAAATAATTTTAACTTTGAATTTTTATAACCAAGAAAAATGTCCAGATTCATAATATGACCCTTTAAGAATATTAAATTAGAGACTCTTGCTTAGGGTGGGCTAAATCTATATAGGCTTGACATTTTCTTGAGAAATTAAAAATGAATACTCTCCCTACGTTTTTTTTTAATTAATATGAAAAAATAATTTTGTGAAAATATGTATTTTGAAAACTTATCCCTTTAATTTTTTTCTATTATTTGGAAAAATAAAGCGAGATAATTTTAATACTTCTATCTAAAAAAAAATGCTCTAATAAAAATTCTATGTAACTCATTATTTCATATAAAAAAATTAAAAATAAAAACATATTATGAGATAATAAAAACATTCTTTTTTTTTTTTTTTGGTTAAAGATTGAATATTTTAATGAAATGGATCTATTTTGTTGTATTTTGGTTATAAATAAATAAATAAAAATTAAATAGCAACATACTTAAAGATAATCGAAAAAAAAATTACTAAAAAACAACCATCTTATGCCATAGTTCAACCCTATTGTGGCACGGGACGAGAATGAGTTATCGAATCCATATTTTCATAGAAATTAAAATAAATGGGGAGGTGCTCATATTGAATTTCGTAAGTTTTTTTAGACCTTTACACCCTTCTATACGGCTTTTATTAAAAATTATAAAACTTATGCTTACAAATGATGAGGGCGGGAATTGAAATTTCTAATAGACATGTATGATATATTAATATCATGCTTATTCAAAACTTTTCCCCTTAGCTTAACTTCAATTAATTAATAAATTGTTAAGTACTTGATATTGATGATAGCGAAGACACAATATTTCATCATCTGTTGTACACAATTGAGAAAATTCAACTAATGGATCTTGCATTCTACGCCCTAAAGATATGGATTCACGTAAAAGTTGTGGGTAATCTCTGAATTCATTCTAAAAAATGTATATAATTAAAAAACAGTTTGTTAAAATTAAATAAAAGAAAAATGTATTCACTTCTCCTTTGATAGAATTAGCATAAATCCTAGCTAGATGGTTATCTAGAATTTCAATTTGTATTTGAGGAAATTGTTCATCATTAACTAATTGATCAATAACTGCTTTAATGTCTCTAACTAGCCACAATGCATCTCTGGACTCTGCTCCAAGGACTATTACATGTGGTCTTTTAGACATTACAAAGTTTTTTATGTGATTGAAATCAGCATCTCGTTTTGCTTTTATGTCATCATTAAATGCTCTTTTCATAATATATGGTAAACGTAAATGATCAAGGACTTCACCATCAGGTGATAGAATGCTTGCGAATGATGCTTGTTCATGATCAGGAGAATATGCTAACCCCATTACTCGTATGCCTTTGCTAGTATCCCAATCATCATCATCTTCATCTACTTCAGGCTTGTATGGACCTATCTAAAAAAAAAAAATATATACATATAAATAAATAAAACTGAAGAATTAGCTATTTTATTGAGATACTCACAGCTATCCAATTTGCCAGTTTTTGTTTACATGATTTTAATACGTATTCTTTAGATTCAGCAAGTAGATTTCGTCTGAGCTCTTTTACCATTTCTGGCATTAGTAATTTTCTATAAGCTAGATCAACACATTCGTGTCGTACATCATTCCATTGTTGTACATTAGAACTAAATTCATCCTGTAAAATAATATAAATTAATAGAATTTTATTTATTATAAATTGCAATTTACAGAAAACCAACTTACTTTTATATAAAGTTGTTTGACTTCTTCTATATAAGGAAGGGAACCAAGACCATCAACTTCTTCATCAAATGAAATTGTAAGCAGTTTATCATCTTCAGCCATTTGTAACTTTAAAAAGTCGTCCTTAACTAAATCTCTTACTGGCTTACGTCGAATATATTTCATTCTTAATTTGAAAATGGGGTCATCAAATATTATTTTTAAACATTACAATTATAACTATAATAATTTACTTACGAATAACAACTATGATTTTCATCTATTTCTTTGATACCTCTTTTAGTTGGCACAATATTCATTTTAGCTCGATCAAAGAATGTTTCTCGCAAACATTTTCTTATGAGTGGCTCACGAGAAAGTTGACACGCCACCATATACTTACCAGCTTTTAATACTTCTTCAGGAGTTTTTAATAATCTATAAATAAATGAAAATGTTTATGGTATAAGACATAACACTTGATTATAAGTACTTACTCGTTGCAGTATTCACCAGCAAGTTTATATGGATCAACAGATTCTTGATCTACTTCGTGCCTTTGGTAGTTATCACGAACATTTACAGCAAAATGCTCAGGTTTTAAACCAAAACGTTTAGCAAAACCAGCTAAAACATTAATACATGAGCACTTATCGAATAAGATTTAACTAAAAATTTTAACATACCCAGTCCAGCTTTTAGACACATTGTATATGGTCCTGAACTACTTGCAGGTTTGACAGTTTCACTATTCAAGTCATCATCATCTAAATTACCAGCATCTTCATCATCTTCTGGTACTTCTTCGCCAGCTTCTAATGCAAGTTTTCTTCTCTCTTCTTTTAACTCTCGGGCTTTTCTTTTTAATTCTCTAGATTTGTTTCGAATACTATCTTGCATTGCAGGCACATCATTAGCATAGTACAGCATAAAATGACCTTGAATATCTTTAAGTTCTTCATTTGTTTGCACTGCACGTAATTTATCAATATCTTCATCTTTAATAATACGAATGTGATCTGGCATAGGAGCATTTGTATCCAACATTACCATTTCCATTTGATAATTTCTCATCTTTTCCAATAGCTCAACTAGCATAGTTTTACGAGACTTTAATTGGCACCACTAAATAAAAGATAAGTAGAATTTTTTTATTATATAACTAATATTTATTGTTTAATAGACTTTTAAATATCTAATATTACACAATTTACCTTAGCATCAAAATGGTAAACTCTCCATAAAGCATTGATATCAAGTTCTGGTTCGACATACTCTTTCCTGTAGTATGCTAAAAATGGAACTTCAAAATTCTGATTTCTCATAAAATCTAAAGCTTTTTTAATTTTTCCAATTGTTTGAGGCCCTTTCTTAGATTGAAGTCGAGGATCTGCACCACCTTTATTTTCCTAAAAAAATTAATTTATTGTTTAATAAAGTTGCAATAGGTATCAAATTTGTCAAGGTACTATAAAATTTATTTTTTTGACGAGTACATACATTCTATTTTTAGAATTGATTTCTCTTTGATTATAGAATTAAACAATAAATATATTAAATTATATATAACATATACTATAATATTTAAACTTAAAATTTCATATTATTAGTAAGTATTTCATCAATTTAAAAATTTGAAAAACTGATTAAAGCTGGCTGGGTACCGGGATGTTAAAACCTAACCAAGTGCTGGGTACCCCAAAAAAACTCATTATTTATTAATTATTATATTATAGAAAATGATTTATCAGTTGGAGCTGGATAGATTATCTTATGTATTTGCTATTCTAATAATATAATTACAATATAAAACTTTTTTTTTTTGTAAAAGACAAATTAGAGTTTTATTATAATTTTAAATTCTGGACGGAGTGAGAAATGCATTTGTTTTTACAATGCTTATATTTTTCTTTTTTTTGGTAGGTACTCTGTGGATAAAATTGTTAGATCAAACAGAAATGCTTATAAATTGAATAGGAGATTTATTATAAGTCTACTAAAATTAAGTATACTGTAGAATTATGATGAAAATCATAAATATTAAAGTCTTTCAAGCAATGTATAACAGAACTCTACTCAGAATCTTTTTCTGCTTGTAATTAATGTGTATAGATATACTTTAAATTTCCCTCTATATCATATCTTTTTAATTGCTGACCTGTAACAGTGGCCAGTCTTTTTTTTTTTAATGTGATAATACAGATTTTGGTAATATTTAATAATAATAGTAACTCATCAAATGTTTTCTGTGATAAAAATTAAATTTATTTTAAACCTACATATTAAACTAACTTTGAATTCCAATGTGTTTAAAATGTATAATCTTTATGTGTTAATCAATTTAGCAGTAAATCACAGAAACTTTTATTTTATTATATTTGAAGAATAAATTAAATTTTACCTGTGTTGTTATAGTTGGCTTACAAAACGCTTGTTTGTAAATCCATTCAGATTCTTCTTCTAATTCATCAGAACCTTCAGGTACTGGTGTTACTGGAACTTCACGTAATTGCATTCTTTCTGGTATATCATTATTACGAATCTTAGATGAAAAAAATAATGTCAAACCAAAATAAAGTAATAACTAAATCTACAAATATAACAAATTTTTACTTGATTATCTAAATCTGTAAAATGTCCTCTTTTTAGTTCAATCGGTTCATAAATTTCAAAAATTGATTTCCTTGTAGCCTTTCTACGCTTTTGGGGTTTTGGTCTCTGTCTTCTTTCACCATCTTCTTCGTCTTCTAAATAGTCATCATCAGATACATCTTCTTCATAGTCATCATCATACTTTTCAAATTCATCATAATCAAAATCTACACCAAAAATGTCTTGTGCCTCTTGAAGAGCAGCATCATGATATACATGTTTGCGTTTTTTCTTTTTTTCTTGAATTGGTCGTCCTTCGTCATCTACAATAAAGCCATCATCGTCTTCATCAGAATACTCTTCACCTTCTTCATCACCTTCAACATTATAATTGTCTACTCGTTCAACTCTAGAAGAAGCACGGTCAGATGTTCTTTCTTCTTCCTAAAAGTTATCAACATTAATAGTAGTAAATTATGTTTTAGATCATAGGAGTGCAACAAATTTTTTAAATACTTACATTATCAGACACATCAAATAAAGTATTGGCAATAGCTTCACGATCTTCAGTAGCATTTTCACCAGTACCTTCATCATCACTTTCTTCATCTTCTAGACGCCTTAATCTTTTAAATCGTTTCTAATATATAAATTTATAAAAATAATAAATCATTTATTAATATCTAAAATAATTAATTAAACATACTCTTCGTTCCACTTTAACACCAAGATTTTCTTCAATAAGATCATAATCATCTTCTTCTAGGCGATCATCAAATTCATCATCGGATTTTTTTCTTTTTTTTGAACCATCTGATTCATCACCAGAACCATCACTTTCTTCAATTGGATTATCATCAATTAAATCCTTAAGCTCTTCACGGATTTTATCTTCATCATCTAGTTAAATCGTAGAGCATTTATAATAAGATAAAATAATTTTTTTTTCATATGTAGGAATCAAAAATACAAAGTACATAATTTTATAAAATTATAATATTATGTTATGACAGAAAAGACAAAAATATTAATTGATCTAATGCATAATTGTTCATATTATTGTTCATATAACACTTGCCATATAAATATATATATACATAGCAGAGAAGTGGAATGAAATTGTCAGTAAACTCAATTGGCCACATAAGTAAAAATAACTATAAATAATAAAATACATTTTTAAATTTTTTCAAAACAAATTTCTAAAAACTTATTTAGTATATTATTTAAAGTAAGAAAAAAGAAAAACCATGTTATACACTATACACACTAGATCGTGCAAAACTGCCTGTGTGTTGTTCAACAGACTGTGGCGGGAAGCTTTTTATTTAATTGCCCCTTGAATAATTTTTATTTTCTCAGTTAACATTTAAGACATATAGGTACATACTCAATGTCTCAACAAATTCTTCCAGAACTTGGAAACAGAGTATGTTTCAGATTTGCGCAGTGTTAGTCATCATTGAAAATAAATATAAACTAAAAATTGTATTAAATGACAATAAATAAATTGAGTAATATTATTTATAAATATTGTACATATACAGTCTTTCTGTTTATACATAATTTACAGCTTGTTTGAATAAAATTAATGTAATTATTGAATTTAATTTGGGATATAAAACCATCAATCATATTATCTATGAAAATAAAATACCTCATCAGTAATACTATTTTATATACAAGTAAACACAAAAGGCTTGTGGGTTATGAAAAATTGTAACAAAATATGTGTCAAAAATATCAAAGTTTTAAACACAAATGCATTTATGATCTCTCTTAAATTAAAACTAAGTCAAATAATATTTAAATACTCAACGAGTTTGAAAATGTTTTATTTTATAACCTCTTGTATGATGGTTTTTTGCAGCAGTTTTATTTCAAAATAATAGAAATTTAAATTTATTTTACGTTAAATTTAATTGTTAATTACACAAATAATATTGTTAAAGCTTACCTTCATCATCGTCATCATCACTTTCCATTGCTTTGATTCTTTTAACTTTCTTTTTATCGATTTCATCCAATTCGTCATCCTTTAAAAATTATTTTAGAATACATATTTATATTAAATGTAAATTACATTTAAAAATTTAAACAGGATTTAAATTAATTTGAATAGGTAACATCAATTATAATTTAAGTACTTACTTCACTTTCCTCGGCTTCAGAGTCCAAAAACTGAGACATTTTTTTTTGTTATAGATACTGTTAAAACAAATATGATTATTTCATAAATAATTTAAAAAACATTTGTCATGTTAATTTTAGCAAAAAATAATTCTTATACAACTATGTCAAAGTTCTAAAATTAAGTGTGTATCTAGTTCCTAAATATGTTACTTTGCACCGACTGAAAATGATTATTTCACGCTAGAAAAAAGAAACAAAAAAATGATGTCTAAATTTGATTGTCATAGAGCAAATGTATAGTTGACGGAAATTTATGTTAATAATTATATATAGGTACATGAAATATGAACATTGACATGATTGTACAACTGTATGAGAATCTAGATTACGTTAATAGGGTTGTAAAAATGATTTCATAAAAACAGTTTTTTTCCAAAATAATAAAAATTATTGTTTCATGTTCAGTAATTTTAAATTAGCAGAAACTGTTGATATGTTATATTAATTACATTTTCTTATGAGATATAGCTTAAAAATGCTATTTCAAATAAAATTACAACATGTAATAGTTACCTAATCAAAATGTTCTGTTGAAAAAAAAAACAATAGTAATAGCCAATAAGTATACAAGTAAATATTATAGAATCAATGGTACCACAAATGGGCGACGTTATTAAAGGGATTAACACACAATGGGTTTTTGTTGAAATGACCACGATCAGATATCTCAATGACGATAATATAATCAAAATTATATTACTGTTTCAAATTCTCATTCGGATGAGTAAATAGGTAACATGTTAAGTATAAAACAAATATCAATATTATCTTGCATCTGAAAATAATTATTATAGGCGGTGGGGATATTTTTTTTTTGCACGGTAACAGTTACAAATTTTGACGACGGTCAACAAAGCAATGTATTGTCGCTAATCGCAATACGTAAGGGATCAAATAATCGCCGAGAGGGTTGTATGGAAAACGGGATTCGTACGGGTTTTTACTATAAAATAGACAAAATAACAAAACATTGTAACGAGACACGTACGAAGTCGGTGCGGCCGGCGAATATGTAGTTTTCTTGACGTGGCGGCACTCGATCAGTCGGATAAATCTATGTACGCACGGTTCAACGATTAAACAAGTATAATGTTACGGTTTGGAGAAAATGTAATATTTTTTTGTCATTTTATTACTACATTACAAGCTAATCTGCTGATTTCGTAGCAATATTTAACAAACAGCCGAAGCGACGGTATCCCCGGCGTAGGACAGTCGTGAATTTGCAGTGATTAGTTGAATGCGGGACGGCCATTTTAGTTAGTTATCAGCGACTCGACTAGCTACAGAACAGTGTGACCACCCACGTTTATCCTATTTATTTAGGTATGTTCGTAATTCTGTGCGTTTCCTAAATTCGTCACTATAGTGATATTTTCATCATGAACCATTTAAATAAATTAGATTTTTGATTTTTTGAATCATTGTGGAATCGTTTGAAGCTTTATTTTAAACTTTTTAAAAATTATTTTGGAACCCTCCTTATTTAACACTGATTCGAATAAACAATATTTTTTCTAGAAATGCTAATATACATAACACTCATCAGAATTATCGTTTATGTACTTATTATAATTTATAACCATTTAAAGTTTAGGCCGGAGAAGTATAGAAGTTACTAATTTATCAATGTAAAATTTTATCTATTTTAATGCAATTTATTACTCTTTACTACTGCTATTATTTTTTTTCCATGTAGGACAAATATTGTTTATTTTTACAAATGGCATATAAATGATTATGAAGTAAAAAAAAACAATTTTTGAAGCTATAATAAAGTATCTACATGGCTATATACGTGTACAAATTTCGTCTGTAGGGCGAGGGGCATATAACAAATGTTTGAACCGAAAATTATTGTATTAAATAATAATAATAATAGCAACAACATAATTTTATAATTAAAAAATGTGACATAACTAAAACATATAAACATAATTATTTACAACTACATCCTTCTATCCACGGCTTCTGGAAGTATCAATTATATTATCAATATTTAGATTAAAAGCAAGGTCATGATACTGCATAAATTGGATTTCATAATACTGAGCTTGGAAAATGTTCATTCGCAAGAACAGCTCATTATTACTGGTATAACCATTACGTTTTTAATGCTTTGACAATAGGTATTACAAAATATAGTTTCCCTTCCATAGTTGGATTCTGTAAGCCAATTTACCAAATCACTGCATTTGTTTTTTCCTCTTTTAGTGTATTGGTCTGTTTATAAAGGTTAATTTCTTCAAGTGAACAACTTTTTTACCAACAATTTTTTACTGAACAACTTTAGAGGTGATGGTTTTTTGGTAAAAATGCTGTCTAGTTGGTGAAACGTTATTTTCCTTTTAGTATTCTCATTAATACGAAAAAACATGAGTAAAAACTGTAATATTTATGCAATAACAGTTTCTATTATATTTGGTTGTGATTTTTATTGTAATTCATTGGTATTAGTAATCATAGACAATTTTATTAATTTTTTAATGAATTAAAATAGAAATCAAAATCAAAATTGAATTTTCAAAACAGAGTGGTAATTTGCCAGTTATTTATAGTTATTGGAAATTTATGAGCTTTTTAGAATTATATAGAACATGCAATTAAAATTATTCAAAAACATGCTTAACAATTTTACATAAGAATTATCATCAAAAGTAATTAATGGAACAAGTCCAATGTGAAGTATTAATTGTTGTATAAGTGTTTAAAGATCAAAATTTGAATTTTAAATCAGTGATGTGCCTAATAAAATTGGCATCCAGTGCCAAAAAAATTTACTTTACCAGTGAGCAAAAAAAAAGGCTCAACCTGTCCTTTGGGCGGAAAAATATTCTATTACAGAACTTAAAAATCCTCAGTGGTGTCCCTGTAGCACAGGGCACTAATCGCTTCCATAGGCACGACCCTGCTTCTAATATGAATGAAAATATATTTTTATAATAATACAAAAATTTTTATTGTCCCATGTGTTCCGTTTTAAACAAACAGAAGAAGTATGCTAACATTTCAGAGAAATTAGTTAAGGTAAATAGTAGGTACTCTGTTCCCTTGTGTCCCCCTACCAATCCGAACACTGCTCATTAAGCATTCAACATCAAAATTACAAAGTTGATTTGAATTATACCTTATCAGTTATTTTGTTTTTGGTAGGTATAGCTGCCAGTAGGTATGGGTAAGGGTTTTAACAGGTATTTTACTTACAAATAGGTAATTGGAAATACAACATATAACATTTTTGTTAAGTTATATATTTTAAATCAAAATGTCAATATTAAATTATAGATAGGCGAAGAGTTGCCTAGATTGGACCACTTTGGACATTTTGGCTAATTCTAACTAATTATTTGAAATTATAAATATTTAATTGCACTGAAATGGTACCTAAGAATGTAATGAATAGTTTGGTAAAGATAGTTGGTTTTTTTAGTAGTTAGTTTTAAAGATAAATGTTTTTCATATTTAAAAAATTTACCAAGAGGTCCAACTTAGGCAACCGGTTGATTTATTTGGACCACCTAAGGCTTTATGTAGGTACCTAAACTAGGGCTTATTCAAGGATTTTTAACAACTACACATTTTGTTTAATAAGCTTATCAGAATAGAACTATAATCTCAAAATATGATTACAAATTATAGTTGAAAATTATGATATTTTTAGTTTTTAAGGTGAAATAATTTAAAATTTAAGAAATAAAATAAGTAATAAAAATTTGTGATTACAATATTTTATTTTAATTAATGTCCTCTTTACTTTTTTCATATTTATACACATAATACAATGTTAGAACGTTCTTTTTTAAATTTTTTGTTTAGGTTGTTCTTGTTTTTTTTTTGTTGTTTCTATAAATATCCCATTAACCATTGGCTTTAGGTGTCTTTAATTCAGCGCTTATTTTGGTTTAACTATATCTGTATTGCTGGTTTTAGGTTCTAATTTCGAAGAGCAGGCATGTTAAAATTAATACAAATATATTAATTTTCCATTTCTACATGTAAACGTTGACGTTTTCTTGATTTAAGAATATTACTTTTACTTATTAATAGTTCAACGTCAGTGCTGTGAGGTTTTGCAGCTTTAACACAAGCAAGTAAAATAGTAATATTTTTAAATTTGGACCCAGATAAATATTGCACTAATTTAGATAACTGAATTTCTAATGTTAGCATTACAATCAAAGGTTAGCAACATGTTTAATAATACTAATAAAATATTCATTAATATCTATGTAGTCTTGCAAAAGATTTGACAAAGTTTCTATTTTGTGTTATATGGTACTTACAGATCTATTTTTAGTAACACACAAATTATGTTTTCATTTTTCTTGAAAATAAATAAATAATATATTTTTTAGAGCTTTTTCATCAGTTCCAACAGTTCATCTTCGAGTACATCTAATAACAGCTAAAAATGGCCAACACATCTGCCAAAAATGCTATTAAATAAAGTGTCCTTATTAGTTAATAATAATAAAAACCGTTAGACTTTTTCTCTTTAGATCTTTCCATGTATATAACCAGAGCTTTCCATGAAATTAATATTGTGGTAACTAGACTAAAAGAAAGGTTAGGTTAGGTTAGGCTTGAAAAAAAGTTTAGTATCCTTATTAGTTAAAAATTATTTTCATTAGACAGTTGTTGTAGTTCTTTAGTTCGAAGTTAGGTTAGGTTAGATTATATTTTTAAAAATATATTTAGTAACACCATGACCTATGGTACTTAAACAAGCTGTTTCAATAGCATCTACAATTCCCTCAGTACCTCTTTGTTCAACATGCCCAGTGCTTAAAAAGTACTGCTCTTTAACTCCTTTTAATGACACTGTTTGAAATATTATATACATTTTATCTATCTGTGAACGATTCACTGATCCACCGCAATGTAATGAAATAGATATTTTTGCAAAAACATTTAACACATTAATACCTATAGGAACAATTATTTGCTGTATTATCCTATTAATACAACAATAAATTATGAAAAATCAAATACACGAAAATTAATTATCAAGTGCGCATCTAGTTTTTCCAAATACGCAAAATAAGCCCACCGGTGCTTTAGAATAAGTTCTGACCTACATTCCTAATATTTTACTACACAGTTTATTCACAAAAAGTTTATGTTATTCTCAATTAAATTAAAAATAACTAAACCAAATTACCTACTTTGAAAATTATACAAAATATACATATATATTAAACTTATTGATAAAATTATAATTATTTAAAAGGTCCATTTTTGGAAACTATTAGAGGTTCAATATAAGCAACTGATTTTTTTTAGAAAAATTGACGTATATATTTTAATATTAATATAAATGTAAATTAGTTTAAAACGATTAGATTCTATACAAAATAGCCTATAAAATCATGTATAAATTAAGTTTAGTTTACATACCTTTTTTAAAGCAAAACCTCACGAAAGATTTAAAAAAAATAACACGAAAACAACCGTTTTTTAATTATGTGATATAATACTAATAATTAAGATTGATAATAGCACGTGATAACTCCAAAGATATTATACAACGGTATGAAAAAAATGTATAAATGTCTCGATCATTATCTATGTATGATAACTGAGTAATTGAGATGGATGCCAGGTGGTCCAATTTAGGCGGTGTTTCAATATTAGCGACTCTCTTCTATATTAAAACATGTAATACAAGTAAAAAAAGACATAGTGAGAGATAGTGTTGCTTTGTTAATAATATATATACCATAATATGGTAAAATAATTACATGGGCATTATATATTATTTTCTTTAATAATATTTGTTTAAAATCGTACCTATTTTCCCGGTTTTTCCTCCATTTTTTTTTGTTTTCACATTTAAAGAGAAAGCCCCTGAGAAAATCGAAAAATGACCTTCTTTAAGTACCTCCACAGGCAGATTTCCTTTTAGAAGTGATGTAAATTGGACCAAAATTGCTGGCAGAAAAGTTGTCCACAGATAAAAAAAAAAATAAACAACTTTTTAAAACCATAAGCTTCTTCGCTCCATTCAAAATCTAAAATATTTAATCAAAACTTATGACACATCCATTAACATCTAACGATAATATACCAAATCATATTTATTGGACAATATAGATACTATCATAGACCTTATACCACGGCTATAGATAATGCGAATGAGTCGTGCTACCTAATCATTCGGTCTACCATGAAAACCACAATCACCACCATAGCTGATATCAGAGTGGACCTTGAGAATAAATCATTTGATCAATGATA